ATGTGTTATGTTATGTTGTTATACTGTGCTATGTTATGATGTGTTATGTTATGTTGTTATAATATGGTGTGTTGTTATACTGTGCTATGTTATGATGTGTTATGTTATGTTGTTATACTGTGCAATCTGCAATGTTACGTGTTATGTTGTTATAATATGGTGTGTTGTTATACTGTGCTATGTTATGATGTGTTATGTTGTTATAATGTGCCATGTTGGTAATAATATAATAAAGTTCTTAATAGAACGCACTAGATCGTAATAGAACGCACTAGATCGCATTAGAAGGCACTAGATCATAATAGAACGCACTAGATCGTAATAGAATGCACTAGATCGCATTAAAGGCACTAGATCGTAATAGAACGCACTAGATCGTAATAGAACGCACTAGATCGCATTAGAAGGCCCTAAATCGCCTTAAAACGCATTAGTATGCACTAAAATGCTCAAAACCAGATGAGGACGTATGTTGGGACAAGCCAGATCACCCAGATGCGGACGTATGCCAAGACAAGCCAGATGCGGACGTACGGTACGTCGGGACAAGCCAGATCACCCAGATGCAGACGTACGTCGGGACAAGCCAGATGCGGACGAACGCCGGGCGTGTGCGCCAATAACATTATTTTAGCTCTTTGTACGCTGCGTTGTACGCCAGTAGAAGGGCTTGGAGCCTCGTTTACGCTGGATTAATCCGCGGAAAACGGCACCATCCTGGGTATGGCATGAGTAAAATTGTAATTTTGTAAACCTAACTAATATTTTGAAATATGTGGTGAGAGGAATTAATGGCTTACTCTTGAATAATTTTCGTGAGAGGAATTGTTACACATTTTATGTCATTCCTTTTTTGATTGCACTGAAAAAAAAATTTGTGAAACTGAACAAGCAAGTTAAAATTCCCTTCAGTCCCTCAATTTTGAATGGATCAGGCTCAGCATATAATTTAAAACCTATCTAACTAATGGCAGATTTAACTAATTAGACTCTTAGGTAGGAACTGATGGATATTTTTATGTTGATTTGATTTTGATTTGAACTACCGTAAAATGGGGTAACTTTGACCACTTTTTTTATTTCAAAACAATGCCATTTTTTTACTAGACAAGTTAAACTTAAATTGAAACATGCTAAATACAGGTCTATTCTCTAGCTTTACTCACCATAAATTGCTGGCTCCTGCCTCTCATAGTTTTGATGTAATTTAAAAAAAAAGTGATGGTCTTTGTTACCCCAGCTCTTGGGGTTTCTTTGACCGGGTGGTAAAATCAATTTTATTTTTTGGTAAAATAACTCCAGGTTGTGGTGCATTGTAGTAAAACTCTTCTAGTTACATATGCAAAAGACAGATTTTAGGAAAGTGTCTTAGTTTGCAAATGGGGGGCACCGTCCCCCAATGGGCAAAATGTGACAACCTAATGGCAGCCGTGACGGGGTAACATTGACTGGCTTGGAAATTAAGTTAAAATTACCATATATAAGACTCTGTAGAGTCTGAAACATAAAGAAAAAAACCTTAAGGGGACCGGCTACCCTCCAGACCGGCTACCCTCTAACTTCTACATTTATCTTCCAATCTTGCTGAAATTTTGTATTCATACGTAAAATGTAAAGTAAAAAACAATTTGCTTGTATAAATTTTTCGAAAAAATTGATAGAAAATGTGAAATTCATAGAAAACGGCTAAAAAGGGGGTACTTTAGAAAATCTATCTCCTCCTACAAATATCATCCTACAACATCGAGACACATATCATTCGGTTTGTAAGGACCATACCTAAAAATTTGATGATCTTTTCTCATTTTCCCCTTAGTTTTGTTTTTATGCGCGTTTTATCCCATTTTTCTCATTTTTCCCCCCTCCCTTCCCTTCTCCCCCATATAAAAAACAAACCAGACAGAAATTCAAAAAAATGATCATCAAATTTTTAGGTAATTTCATTACGAATCGAATGGTGTATGTCTCCTTGCTGTAGCTTGAAAACTGTAGGAGGAGATAGGTTTTCCGTGACAATAAGTTGAACTTTTCAAACTTTTCAGGACGGCGCGACAAAGTCCTGTGCGCCTCGAAATAGGCACTCAATGTAGCATGGATACCAAACCACAGGCTTCTGTAGCTTAATCCACTCAAGGATGCTAGCAGCAACTTGTAGCGCACCTCTACGTACAATGTTAGGAGGGTAACTGAGCTCAGATGCCAGATACACCAAGATATGTAGTCTTGCCGCTGTAATTTTCTTAGGTCTATTTACTGAAAGAACTCCACCCCCCGCCCCTCATTAAAGCCCGGCCATCTGCGTCAATATTGCCGTACATGGATCGCAGTAGTATCGTTGGAAAGCTCAGAATGTCAGCTTTAAGATGAGACCAAGCATGTAACTGCAGCACAACTCAAGTAGAAACTATATTCAAAGATATCAGCAGTTAATTACTTTATATCTAATTACTTAAAGAACTCTCCCACCCGCTTCCCTTTAAAGAGACGTCATGAACGTAAATATTGGCGTACAGCGATGGCAATGGTACCATTGGAAAGAGCAGAATTCCAGCTTTCAGATGAGCACAAAAACCGAAAAACGCCAATTAATTTTTTAACCTATTAGATATGCAAACTTTTTAAATCTTTCTATTGTGTTACATAGCCTCAGTATTAGGCCTTTGATGGCCATTGACAGAATTTTTCTATGTCAAATCGTTTTTGAGTTTTGAGGGTTTTTGTTAAAAAAAAAACAAAAAGTGGTCAAAGTTACCCCGCCGGTCAAAGTAACCCCATTTTACGGTACCAGTATGGTTAGTATACTAATTATCAGGCTAGTTGCCTTGTGTAAGGAGGTATGGCTTGCTTTAGGGGTTAATAGCATGTACTGTGTAGCAACCAGTAGCTGCTGTTGTGAACTTACTTTCAGCCAACAAGATTATACAAAACAGGCATCTGCCTAAAAAACTATTCTGCTTCTTTTTAAATTTCAGGTCTAAATTTAAATGACCAGGAGGTCAAACAAAGAAGTTTAGGAAGCAGAAGAGGCTGTGTTTGCTACCTGGTTGAAACTAGTTGCCTCATCTATGGCAGCCTGTAGGTGGTGATTGCAAAAGAGACTTTTTTCAATGCTGAGGTGTAAACTTTGGCCTTGGTTATCCAATATCATAATTTATGACGTCTTATCTACTATTTTCATGCAAGTCTCTGTTTTGGCCAGCATTATGTTTTTTCAGCCTTGGAGCTAACCAGCATCAGTACAAAGAAGGTGTCTATGCATGCCCTAATGTGTTGCCATCATTGACATTGTAAATATTGCCATAAAGTTTTCCACAACTACTGGCCTGGTTTATACCTTGGTGACCATGGGTCTTGCATACTAGTTGCTCCTCAATATCCTCCCCCTATCTGTATATTTGTGATACCAGACATAACACCTGCAAACTCACACACAAGCAATGACCAACTTTAACAAATGTATTTAAGACGAATGGTATTTTGAATGAAGCACTATGAATAGTATCAGAATATGACCTTGTTAGAGAAGTTAGGCTGTATTGATTGTGTGCAATTTTATAGCTAATTTTATCATTTTTCAGCATTGAGTCAAATTTGATCAATAATTGAATTAAGTTACCTTCACTCATTGTTCCTGGGAAATAGTGGTACAATGGTAAGTAACAGATGTCAGTATATATACCTTATTATTGACCAAACAAAGCCTGTTTAGCTTTGCATATTTGTATACCTTACTAAATATATATATATATATATATGGACCTGTGCTACTTCTGCCGATTCATAAAATAGTCACACTTTGAGAAAGTATAAAAGCCATATTGTGTGCTATGAATAAAACCATTGAAATGGGTATTTGACTGAAACAATCATTTAATTTATTAATATATATGAAAGAACTACTTTATGTGATGAGGCTCTCCTTTTATGAATCTTGTATACCCTAGGAAGTAAAAACTGAAAAAAACTGTTTGTAATAATCCTAGTAATAATAATGTGAATGTCAAGAAATGTCTCCCATCAGATCATAGTTTGAGTTTTCTTAAGATCTTGCCTATTTTCCATTCCATGATTGTTTGAAATAATTTACTTTCAATTTTATTGAATATTAATTATAAATTTTTTATTTTCAGTCAGCTGAGATTGAAGAAACTCTGAGGAGAATCCAGTCTCACAAAGGTGTTGTGGGAGTAATAGTCATCAACTCTGAAGGTGAGAGTAACGGAACAACATTTTTATCTAATAATGTTGTTAAATAGAAATATATTTATGTAGGTAGTACCGTATTATCACACCTTCAAAAAATTCTACATTTTATACAAGTGTAATGATTTTGATGCAGTGAAGTTGAAGTTTTTTGTCAAAAAAATTAACCATCCACTAATTAGTTCCAATATCAGCATATCCTCACAAAAAAAAGTTGTATTCAGAGTATAGATGCAATTTTTTTTCTGTTCAATCACTTCATATCACCTGCCTCACATATCTTTGACATACTTGAATGAAAGTTAATTCTATTTCTGTAACTACCAGGTAAATATTTATATAGTGGTAAATGAGAGATTTTTAGCAACCAGTTGTTCATTTTTAATTTCATGATCAAGTTTGAAATTGTATTCAATATCTATGTATGATGATGCTAGTATCTATGATAGGTACTTTACAGGTCTACTCATATGACTAAAGGAGGAAGAGTCTTAAAAAAGGTCTCCATGCTTTCAGGTATCCCAATCAAGAGCACGCTGGACAACCCAACTACAGTACAATACACTGGCCTCATCAGCGGCCTCGCTGATAAGGCACGCAGCGTTGTCAGAGACCTCGACCCCACCAACGACCTCACCTTCTTCAGGCTCAGGTCCAGAAAACATGAAATCATGGTTGCTCCTGGTAAGATATTCAAGAAAGCTAATTTAAAATGGCCAAAATTGACCTCATTAGGTGCAATTGAATCATAATGCTATTAGCTAGATATTTCATTTACTTTAAATTTGAGAATTGATTTTGCTAGGCACAATTTGAACAATGGTAGAAACTAATTTTGCTGAAATAGGTTAATTCAGTTTGCTCATGCAATGTAGTGAAGTTATTAGTTAGGAATTAAATCCTGGTATTTACTTGTACAGTATTTATATCATGCTTATTTAGTATGTTTTAGTTGTGACGTTTTGGCTCAAATTGGATGATTGTCGCTTTGTCTGAAATGAAATTATAAGCTAGCAGTTGGTAAGTTTTTTTTTGTGTTTCTGTAATAACCGTCACAGATGTGTTAATAAAGTCAATTATTTTTAATACGGCCATTATACAAGTCTGTTTTATGCGTTTACATAACGTCATTCTTTGAGTCGCTTGATCTTTCACTTGTAAATTTATTACCTGCCAATTTTCATTTCAGATAAGGAGTACATGTTGATCGTTGTGCAAAATACGAATCAATGAGGGTATGGCTCCTCTGACCGGCGGCTCTTCATTCTTATGCCTTATTTAAAAATATGATTCACACATTACTTGTTCGCACACATTGTGATGATTTACACATTACTTGTGTTTTTAATTTTGATACCTGACAGCATTCCTCCACTTAATTCAATCTTTGAACCCACAAATAAAATTACGAGTAAATATGTGATTCCATTGAGTCTGTTGACAGTCTCTTGGTACCGGTATTGCTATTAAATTCTATGGGATTCGTAACGCAATTGTTTTTTTCGTCACTTCCCATGAAAGAATTGCCTTCAGATCAGTGATGCGATTTTTCGGTATAAACCATTCATATTTTGTTAGCAATCTTCCCAACTTATTCGTTGATACTAATATTTATTGTATATTTATAGCGTGTAGACTTTATGGTAGTGTTATCTTGAACTTGTGTGTTAAAATGTGTCTTGTATTTTTACATAGTCAAGGTTGAAACATAGTTAGAATTGTCTGTTTATTTTTAAATTAATTTTTCCCACTATATTATTATTATTTCCATGGAGTTCTAACGCTGTATCTGTAATGCACTGACGTCAACTACAAATATAGTATTGAACATGTATTTATTTGTTTGTCCTCGAAAAATAGTTTTGTTTATAATTGACGCTGCCGCCTCCACAAGGCTGTCCCACAATGAGGAGATGCTGAGGGAAGGAGGGGCAAGCAAAAAGATGCTGGACGGACTGGAGGGGGTGCCCCCACTCTGGGTAGGAGGCACTGGGGGAGCGTCCGACCCTGAAGGTGTAGCCCGCCGGAAAACCACAGTAGCCCAAACACAGCTGAGATAGCGCCGATCGGAAAGGGCGAGGAAGCGGGGCTTCTTCCGGCGCAATCGGTGGTGATGTGATCGCAAGAGCGGCGTTGTTTTCGGCGGCCACCGCGACGCGGAAGCGATCTCCCTGCTTAGGGAGCGCTTAACTTCTTCATAGGCGCCGGCAGGTATGATTCCGTTCTCTAGAAAGGGCGCAAAGAAGAGGCTGAATCTTGACGTAAGGGAGGCTTTTTGCAGATGTGAATTTCAAATAATATACAGACATAAGCTTAATTGACGTATTTTCTGGTGAAAATTGTATTTTTCTAATGTTTTTACGTCGACTGAATCACATCTTTTCAATTGAAAAAAATTGACATTTGAGGCAAACCTGTTGTTATTAATCCAGAAAATGATCACCAGTTTCTGACACAGAATATACCGTTATGTGTATATTTTATGTGTGCCAAGAGACAATTATTTTGAAAGCTCTCACCAAAACACAACATCTGTCATCAATTAGCTCCGACTGAACAGGTTCGTAACATTTATAAAAGAAATGAAGTTTGCTGTCGCCTTAACAACGTTTAAACAGTTTGCCGTCAATGTCGCAGTGAAAAAAAGTTCAGTATCGATTCATCGAGTATATAGATTATTTGTTGATAAGATGAACTTTGAGGAATACAAAAACTGTTTGTTTTGCAACTATGCATCAACGAACTTTGATGGCCTAGGATCCGCACTTGCCATTGTATACATCAACGCACGTTCATGTATCATTTCTAATAATTATATTATCTAAACCCTAAGGGGACGATAGAGCTACTATTGAGTACCGCACCGGGTCTTCTGTGATGGAAAGATGCAGCCTCAATCATGTTTGGTTGTTACAGTTGGCTCGGCTTCTACTTAAAAATCCTGGTAAAGCTAAGACGCAGCACGCGTTTAAAGTTTCAGTTTGACAAATTTATTCGGGATCTTAAAGTAGCAGCTCGAAAGTAGCACTTTAAGTGGCTGCTCGTGTACCTAGAGCTCACGTCATCGGTTACGGTTCAATCATTGTTGATCCTCTTCTTCGGAGTTTGACAATTGGACAGTTATAAATAGCTGAGGTGGATAGATTAGCAGCATACCATTGTGGTGAAACTTTTATAGCGATAGCTACCCGTGGTACTCTCTCATCTTCTTTAAACTATGACGTCACCTGAGCAAACGATGTTATAGAATAGAAGTGTCGGCGTTGAAGAAATAGGCCCATGGCCTGTTGCCGATTCTTGAACTTTTCGTGACTTGATCCACAAGGGATCCGGGCTTTGGAAGCCGATCATTTCATAGCTGACGATTGATTGAGATAGCCGCTGGACTTATTGCCTGGTCCGTAATTTGCTAGGCATTTTAAGACTGAACATATGCTCCTGCATAGCTTCGTCTAGTCTTATTGCCTGGTCCGTAATTTGCTAGGCATTTTAAGACTGAACATATGCTCCTGCATAGCTTTGTCTAGTCTGTTTTTGAAGATGTTCATATTCGGAACGTCAACGATGCTATCAGGGAGGCTGTTCCACATGTCGGTGACTCGAAGCGAGAAGAAATGTTGTCGCATGGATGTGTTCCAACGCTGTTTTTTTAGTTTATAGCCGTGGCCTCTGGTATTGGTTCTTGTTTCAAATTATAGTAATTCTTCTGGGACCTTGAATAAGTCATGAGTATACTTGTATACTTCAATGAGGTCCCCTCGCAGACGTCGATAACTGAGGCTTGGAAGCTTATGAGTTCGTTTCCACTTGAAACCGTTGTAACCTATGCAATTGGTTTTGCACTCCTTAGGCAATTTCTAGGTCCTATTTTGGTCAAAATCGTATTAATGAAGTTTTTGTAGCTGGACTCCGATAAGTTTTCACTGCAGACAAAATGAATTTTTCGGCGTTTTCTTTGATTTAAATGCTTAGTTCATATGACAAGTTGCAACGAATCTGCCATTTCCTAATCTAAAGTAGAATTGACTTTGCATATAAATTTAAAAACAACCCACACTTTACCTATGACTATTTGAAATTTATGCAGAATTTGTCACAAATTTTCATAAAACATCGAACGAGTATAAATACATTGACCAAACCTTCAGTACTGCATTTCTTCTAACAATAATTAATGCTCTGTGAGTCCGACTGACGAAAGTCTAATTCTATACTCGGATTTTTTTGTAGAAGGCCGTAGAACATAGAATAAATTTTCTGCTAAATGCATTACCTAAATATTGATCAAAAATAGGGCTAAATAGTTTCCACGTTGATTAAAATGATTGGATGTGCTATACTGATTTTCAAAATGTGTTCTAAATTCATGTAAAGAAAAGAGCACTTATTGCCCTCGTGTGATGGTACCCTCATTTTGATGGTGACTCCGAATCTTATAATTCCGCACCAAAGGATGGGCAACTCAGACGTCGTCCACCGCATGTAGATTGGGTCTCTATAAACAAAATTAGCGGAGCCTCACATACGACATTCACCAGATGCAAACGATCAGTCACATGCAGGCTATATCAATCATACAGGTAATTTTTTCGTCACAAGAAAACGATCACTTATTCGCCACATGCGACCGATCACTTGTTCGCCACGTGCAACCGATCATTTATTCGCCACGGGCAAACGATCACTTATTCGCCACGTGTGAGCGATCACCTATTCGCCACATGCACACGATTAATCATTCACCATATACATATGATCAATTATTCGCCACGTACGAGTGATCACTTATTCGCCACGTGCACATAATTAGTTATTCGCCATATATATACGATCGACTATTCGCCTCCTGCAAACGATCAGTTATTCGCCGCAATCGATCAATTATTCGCCAATCAATCAACTATTCGCCACATACAAACGTACACGTATAACTCTCATTGGATTTGCTATACTGATTTTTCAAATGGGTTCTAAATTCATGTAAGGAAAATAGCACTTTTTGCCCTCATGTGATGGTTCCCTCATTTTGATGGTGACTCCGAATCTTGATTCCGCACCAAAGGATGGACAACTCAGACGTCGTCCACCGCATGTAGATTGGGTCTCTATAAACAAAATTAGCGGAGCCTCACATACGACATACGACATTCACCAGATGCAAACGATCAGTCACATGCAGGCTATATCAATCATACAGGTCTTTTTTTTCGTCACAGGGGAATGATCACTTATTCGCCACATGCAACCGATCACTCATTCGCCACATGCAACCGATCACTCATTCGCCACATGCACACGACAATACACATACGATTAATTATTCGCCACAGGCGAACGATCACTTATTCGCCACGTGTGAGCGATCAGCTATTCGCCACATGCCTACGAATAATTATTCGCCATACACATACGATCCATTATTCGCCACGTGCGAGTGATCACTTATTCGCCACGTGCACGTGATTCGCCATATATTTACGATCGATTATTCGCCTCCTGCAAACGATCAATTATTCGCCGCAATCGATTCGTCAACTATTCGCCAATCAATCAACAATTCACAACATTCAAACGTACACGTATAACGATCATCTATTCGTCACTCAGGAACGACCGCAAAAATGCACCGGGAAAAACTGCTAACCCAGTCTGCTTTTTTTACAAGTTTAACTTTGATTACACGGGTCTGAAAAAAATCTGAAAATTGCTTTTATTTCTGGAAGGGCGACTGTTTTTTTTTTTTTTTTTTTTTGCACTGATTTTATTTTGGGTCACGATAACTTAAATTAATGCCTTGAAAGGGCATATATATATATTTTTAATTTAGTCCGTTGATGAGTCGAAAATTTAGGTAGGCTTTGAGTAGTCTTAGAAGAGTAGGATTGACTGTTTTTTTTTTTTTTTTTTTTTGCACTGATTTTATTTTGGGTCACGATAACTTAAATTAATGCCTTGAAAGGGCATTAATTTGAATTTAACTCTCATTTTACATTTAATTAAATGTCTATAGCACCTCACTTCCCACCACAATATCGATGTTTTTTTTAAGAACGTCAATATTTTAAGCTTTCCGTTTCCATGTTATGCGATTTATAAAGCGTGGAAGTGCACATCCAGCACTAGTATTAGTTGGTATCAAAATTTGTTAGAAACAAGAAAATGGCTAAATATTTTTAATCTTAAAGTGTTAGACAATATGATACTATCGGCGTGTCAAGTGTTCATAGAATAAAATCACGTAGGAAAAGAGCGAATAACATCACCATTGCCTGCCTATTATTTATTATCGCGAAGTTTTTACTGGAAAATTATAGCAGAAGTATTTCCGTTCTTTTGATTTTGCCGCTGTTAAAATGCATTTTTTTTCGAACGACATTAGACGTCAGCAATCATTAGACGTCAACTCAACGCCATTAAAGACATTACGACGTAATCAACCAGCAATCGACGATGTTACAGCGTTTTAGTGGCGCATCTGCCTAACGGATACGTCTTGAACGAATTTAACTGATAAAATATGAGCCATTAAAATATACGTTTAAAAATTAATTTTTAAAGATAACACTTCTAAAAAAATCCAGTGTCTCCAATGTAAAACATGTACAATGAATTTCTAATTTTATTTTCGAATATTAAAAATTAATTTTTAAATTATTTTAATAAATATAATAAATTAAATTTTCAAAATTATCTATTCTGTCAATTTATTCATGCATTGTCTCCGACTTTACACAAGTCTGCAAATTTTCAGATAGATTGGACAGCTAGAAATGTGTTAAATATTGATTATAATATTTGCAGCAGACAATATTATTATTTCAGTTTTTTTTAATATTGAAAAAAAGTATTTATTTATTTATTTATTTATTTTGTCATTCGATTCATGCATTGTCTCCAACGTTACGCAAGTGTGCAAAATTTCAGTGTGAATAAGTATGAAGTAGAAGGATAAGTAGAAGTGTGTTAAATTTCGATTATAAGATTTGTAGCAGACAGACAAACAGGAATTGAAGTTAAAGAGAAGTGTTGTAAAAATAGCCATTTTTTCTCCGAGCAAAATCCTTTAGTATATAGATATTCAGACAACTTCGACAAAAGTGCGAACTCTTCAGCGTGATGCGTGATGAACCAGATCTTTACGCTCAGATCATCTGAAGTATAATTCCCTGTTGCCTGTTTAGCTATATTCTTTGATTCTTACATCAGAAATTCATATAACCTCATATCTGGAGCCTAACCTATATAGGTATAAGTAATGGAAATTTGCCCAGAGGATGAAAACATGAAGCATGAAATAAAACCATTTTCTTTATAGGCCTAGGTAAAGTAGAAAAGGAAACGTGCCAATCATTTTTTACTGTTACCTGAGGTTTCTCTTACTTTATTTGGCTCTCAACCGAAGTGTTTATAATTTACATCATGATAAACACTCACCCCATTTTCTATAAGCAGTAACAAGTTAGCGATTAAGTAACTCGATTACTCGAGTCGCAGTCGCACCTAGCTGTATAGTCGCCACTAGATTGTATATGAGAAGTAACTTCAGTAAATCACCAAATGAGAACGTGTTGGTGTTCTCGCATTGGGATTCGGTTAGTAGTGAACGAGTGTTGTTGGTTCTTACGAAAATAAACGTTTCTTCGAGGTAATAACCGTAATTTTTAGTGTTTCTAGTTGAGGGTGTTGAAAATACTAGAAGTAAACCACGAGGATGAAGAACAAACTAAAATATCTGGTGGTGGATTCAGGAGCATTTATTCAAAAGCAACCACTGTGGGTGAGTTAGCCTATCATGAATTCAGTTTTATAGCTATGTACCGGTACTAACAAAAATAGATCGTAAAAATATACATGAAACAGAGGAATATTTTAATGACAGCCATTAGGTTTATTCCGAGAAATAAATCATAGCTAGTTTAGGTTTGGTACCTACCTAATTTCTTTTCATTCTATGTTGTCCGGTGGCCGGTGCACAATTCTACCTCGGCTATGACATTCAATGCACAATTTTGTGATGACTGATGATGCATTAATTTTTCGTTGAATAAAATTTTTTGGTTAACTGGAGCCTTTGCTAGCTGAGGACCTGAGGTCCTCAGCTAGCAATGAGACAGGCTAGGTATGCAAATTTTGTCCATCATGTTTTTAAGTCAACACCTTTGTGCAACTTTAATGCGAGTAAATTTTTTAATACGGCAAATATTTTTTTGCTACAGACCTTAGCAGAGGCACTTTTCCAAAATCTTGTTTTTCACACTTTTTTCAGTTTTTTTAGAGGTAGTAAATGCTGCTACAACAGAATTTACTAGTTTTGCTGGCTGCTGCTACAACATTTCTATGAAATGTGGGACAGCAGACAGCTGTCCTGATTTACCCCGTCTGTCCCTTATTACCCCGTTTGAGAGTATGTATTTCTCTTGTAAATTTACATTTGACTAGTGTTAGTTATCTTGTTGAATACGATTTAATTAAATAAATTTTCCCATTGTGCAATTTGTGCTGGATACTGGATAGTTATTGCACATACTCACTGTATAACATGCTTACCAATGTTTTTATTGTGATGAAGAAATGTGTATCAGCAGAAATATATAGTTCTTCATATCAACTGCATATATATTCCTTGTTGTTAACTTAATGATTAGCATAATTTTTGTATCTGTTTGAACCCCATGGAAGACATTCTTTGCATAGCCTTGTGTGTGACATGGTGTCTTGGTGATGTTTCCAACAAGTGTAGATCTATCCAAGTCTATTTATAGCGCATTTTCTCTTTACAGAAAAAATGCACTATTGTGCTTGCCATGTCCGTCTGTCTGTCTGTCTCTGTCTCACGTCTGTCGGTCTGTCCATCCATGACTTCACATTTTTGTCAATTTTAAGAAGCGGGCATGCCTGTATCAAAGATACGACATCTCTAGCTCTAATGCACTGTACTAATCGCAATGAAAACTGATTTATGCTTGAGAAAATGTGCTCTCTGTCACTCACTGCCGTGAGTACTGAGTTATATTTTTTCCTGCTCTGGTAAATTACAACATTGTGGAACCCCAGCTGATGGAACTGCCACATAATTTGATGCTACAACATATGTATGCAAATTGTAGTACAACCCATTACAGGAACGGTCTACTGGTACTCAAATTAATAATCTGCCTACACAGAGTCACAGACTGAAAAATTCCTTTAATTCTCTTCACAGGAGCATGCTGAAGAGCTGTACACTGTACCAGAAGTACTTGCAGAGATTAAAGACAAGCAAACATCTCAATTTATTGAGTCGTTTCCTGTAAAAGTAAATTTTTGTCAGCCACAACCTGCAAGCCTCAAATTTAGTAAGTTCATGTGCAAAGTTTGTTTCTGGTAAAAGCATGAATTATTGTTCTTTGATGTTATTGCTTAAATTTTAGCTTGAGAATTGTATTGAGTAAAAAATTATATCAAATCAATTCTTCTTTACAGTTGATTCAGAATGTGTGCAAACCATGTAATTTTGGGCATTGCTGCAATGCTAGTAGCTCATTATTTGTTTCAACTTTCAATAGCCTCTTGTCCTAATAATTCAGGGTTGGCAATGATTAAATCAAAATGATTAAATCATGTGATTAAATCACTTGATTTTTTTATAAAAAAATCATGATTTTTTTGATTTTTTCGATTTATTTGATTTTTTTGATTTTATATATATTTAAATATATTAAGTGGCAGTCTTTAACAAAAAAGTTGAAAAAATCAAAAAAATCAAATAAATAAAAAAAATCATGAAAAAATCAAAAAAATCATTGATTTTTTATTTTTTTGATTTTTTTAAAAAAATCAAAAAAATCGCCAACCCTGCCTGATATAGCATTGTTAGTTCATATGTATATCAAAATTTCAAGATGCTATTGAAATTAATTTTTATTTGAATTTATTCTATCTTTTTCAGTTTCCACTTTCTCCAAAAAGAGTGGAGATTTCCATGTCCTCTCATTAACTGATCTCAAATTACTGGCACTTACTCATGAGCTTCATGTGAAAGAGAATGGCAGCTCCAATCTGCGGCTGGAACCACTGAAGAGAATAACCAACACAACAATAACTCTTCCATTAGTAAATCTAGATAAAAATCAAACTGAGGCTGAAATTAACAATAGCAAAGACACAAATAATTTTGAGCCAATTGAAGAATTTAATGAGGTAGAATGTGAAGGTGGGTTTGATGGTGATGTGAACAATGCAGAGAATGAAGATGATGGTTGGACAACAATAACAAAGAAGAGGAAACCAAAAAAAATTATTCAGCAGCAGCCTGTCTCTGTCAGTGAGGCAACAACTGATGAACAGGTGGGCAGTGAGCAAACCGCACATATTCATGCATCGATGCATGAAAATACTATTAGCTTTTAGAACTGTAGATTAACTTAATTGTGCTTCCGCAATAGCCCATGTTTACCATTAATAATCTAGGTTTCATGTACAGTAACTCTGGGATTGATTCAAATTATCTTTGAGTTGACATTTATGTATATTTTTGAAAAGCATGCCTGTACCAATCAAATATATCTGTGTGGGTAAGGTTTACTGACATTATCTTGTTAATTAATGGCTGATGGTATAACTGTGTAATTTACTTGGTTCTTCTTTCCATCTGGAGTCAGTTGGTGTATTGGTATATCTTGATCTCTGAACAATTATTTTTCCTATAACTAAGTTTCATGCAAGTCATTTTAAAAGGTATGTTTGAAATGCTTTCCTTGAATGAAGTTAGCCTGCTCTGTCTTTTTGTCTTTGATTCTCTAAATTTTCTTTTCTTGGGCATATTTTTGCTTGATTTTATTGCTTACAATATCATGTTTATTTTGGTATTGTGGACTGGAAAATTGTTGGTGGTGCTTTGCCAAACTGCTCCTAACCAATGTAACTTTTTTGCTCCTGACAGGTGCCTTATTCTCAGCTTGTCTCTTTAAGATCAGACCTTCTCCACCTTCTTGATGAACATCTTGAGAAGTTCAGCTACATAGCTGGCCACATGCCAAGCCCCCTTCAGGAAACTCTCATGACTGCTCTTGTTCATTGCATTCTAACACTTGGAATTAAAGACCAAGCATCATCTTACCTCAGAACAGTGCTCAAGACATCAGAATCTTGGTTATTGAAAGTACTACTTTATCTTGTTGAGGATATTGCAGATTCTAAGAGCACCTCCAACGAGTTTTGCAACTCAGAATTTCTTCTGCAGCTGATTAATTGTCCATGTGAAGAAAATGATTTACAAGAATATGAAAACATAAGGCGGTGGCTTAGTCATGTCAAGTCCTTCGAGTGGTTCTGCAAGCCATCTCGTCTTCCTTATGTTTCTACCACAACTGGTGCTACGAAAATTCTTCATTCCTCAATGCTTGCTGTGGCTCAGAGTACTCTTTCCCATACACAGACCGGTGACCAGGGACTTGCATTGGTAATTCTTCAGAATTTGAATCTTGCTCATTGTATCCATAGGCAATGCTGCATGCTGTTTTGCACTAAACTATACACTACTTTGAAATAGAATGCTATGCATATAGATTAAATAGAGAATATATTCTAAACCAATATATTCTCTATTTAATCTATATCTATATAATCTATATATTTCTAAATATATTCTCTAACCAATTTTTATGGGAGCAAAATTTTTCCATTAGCATGCATTTTCTTCAACTTCATTAATTTCGCAGTGATTATGCTATCAATCACAAGAATCTCTTCACCTAACATTTTTAGTGTGGCAATGGTGGCTTACTAATTGGTCTTCCCTGCTTTCTTTAAATATTTTTAGTGCATACGAGCAGCGTATCTGTTGTTTATCCTTGTTTGAAGTAAATTTAATTTGTTTTTTATCCACAGAGTTGACTGCTATCTAAAGTAATTTGGCATAGCTGGAATGTTTAATCTAAAGAAAATGTCGTGAGTTATAAATCACATGCAGTTCAGGGCTGACAGTGTATTCTGAAAGATTTCTTATGTTACAGTTGGAGGAGGAAGAAGAGGACGATGAGGATGACGATGACGATGACGACGAGGGGTGGATTACGCCTGACAACATTGATCAGATGACGTCGACAGGCTGGTGCCCCAGAGAAGCTGACGAGGGCAACGACAGCGAGCTCGAGGACTGCCCAGTGACCGTGGCGTGCATCACTGTCGACTATGCCATGCAGGTAGTAACTCAAATTATCCCATTTGTTATTCCTAACCTAACCTAATTAGTTTTCAATTTCTTGCTTGTAATCATTGCACTTCAACAACGACCGAATGAAACCGCTGAGGTTTACTCATTTAAATCTGGATTTAAATGAGAAATTAAATCATTAAAACTCATTTTAAAGTCAAATTTGAAATTAAATTTAAAGTTGACTAAAAAATTGTGTAACATAATAATGAAAGGTACCAAGCACTCACTTTCTTGTCAACTTTTTTCTAATGCTGTCAAATAGAACTTCCAAGAACTGTGTGAAAGTAGTTGTGATTTATAAATTCTTTTCAAAGTATTCCTAATCAGTACAATAAGTATTAGTAACAATTGTTATTTCTGATCAGCACGTACTAAAGCACATTGGGCTGGGTGTGCTGGGTATTGACGGCCGCATCATAAGAGAGCTGCGCAACTTTGTGCTTCGCTGCTTCACGTGTTTCACCGTCACGCCCGACATGAGCTTGGTAATAGTGCTTGACGAACTTGCCATTTTGCACGTACCATTAGAGATAAGTTATGTCAATGCCGATGCTGAATTCCTTCTCAATGTTACTGGTATTATTTATTCATTGTAATATACAACCTAATATATTCTTACTTAGTAATATATATATACGAATTCTTCTTCTAAGATTTATTTTAGGAATGAACTTGTATCTATTTGTATTTTTTACAGCTGTTCTGTCCGAAATGTGGCCACAAAACCCTGAAGCGTGTCTCCATCACCACTAATGCGGACGGCACGCAGAACATCTGGATATCCCGTAGACGTCTCAACACCAGGGGCTTCAAGGTGCTGCTTCCTTTTTCTGACTGCCCTAAACTTCATAGTATTTTTATAAGTACAATTTCATGTCTCACAGGCAATGAAAAATGTTTTGAGCGAAACAAATCTTTTAGAGTGATGGACCACTTTCAGACTTGAACATTGCTGTCTTTAATATTACCAATTTGTTAGTGAAATTTGAATGTTTTTGATTTCCTAGTACACAGGATGTGAGATGACAAATAAACTGGCCACTGATCGTTCAGTGGAAACCTGCATTATTGCAGCCCCTACAGACATTTATTTGTAGTTTCTCCTTAAAAGACCGAGTTATTGACATCTAGTGAATGTTCCTGTGCAAGCATTTGCTGTGTACGGATTTCATATTTGATTACTCATCACTTGATATGCATTAACAATATTTTGGTCACACCTGTTCTACTTTGTTCCTGCAGTACAATTTACCGAAGCCCCGCGGCGGCCAGCACGCCCTCATGCCGCTGCTGACGGCAGACCAGCGCTTCCCCCACCAGTGGGCCAAGAAAGCCAAGAGCGTCGACGCTCTCGATCCTGATTTCATTGCTGGTGAGTCGACGCGCTGTGCTGCCTTCGTAGCCCTCCACGTTACCTTGTCAAGTTCATCTCTAGGATTTGATAAACTTTATTGATGATGGTGACGTCGTTGGGCTTTTTACTCTTCTCTTGAAGCCGTTTTCTGCAGCATTGTTGTCGGTTAACTGTGATGTGTATTCCTTTCAGCATTAATGACCCTACAAATACCATAGACACGGTGTCTATTATCGTTTAAGTCAATAATCGAAAAATAACTCTAAACAAAAGAATGCTCTACTAGTCTACTGAACAAAATTCTTCTATAATGGCAGCTTTTTAATTAATTGACGTGTGCAGGCCCATCGCCGTTCGCCGCTCGTGACGTCAACTCACGTGCCGCTGTTCACGGCTGCTTCGCTGGCACCAACAGCGCGGGCAACGCCCATCCCCGCCTCAAGCACGCCAAAATTTGGAAGCCCAAGCGTAAGAAAACTGTTAGGAAGTAGCAAAATGCATAAAGCTGTTTCCGGAACACATTTCTTCATTCCAATCCTTTCACTCAGTACGATAGTTCACGAGGAAATCGACTTGAGACTACTACTTCGTTTCTTATTGGGAAAATTTGATTCTTGTGGAAAATTAGAACTGTACCACTTCCCAGGAGTGCCCTACAGAAAACTATAAATTTAACGTAATTCATACCAGCAAGATTCAATTGTGAATTCAAAGTTAAACAACATTAGTCGTACGTTCGTTTTTATGAAAAACTTTTAACTTGAGTTTCTTCTTCTTACTTTTTAACATGAAGCGTAAATCTATTCAAATAAATATAAGTGAAATCGTTAGAAATTGAGCATTCGTTAAAGTGAAATAGTACGCAAAATCACAACTCGGTTTCACAGCAGTGAACGTGCATAAGTGTGCTTCGAGCAATTTGATATGTGACCAACCTCACAGTAAACAATTCGCTTTTAAGGCGAGTGGCGATTAATCTATGGATCCTTTCAAAGCTTTCTTGGCAGAGCATGGATCTTGTTTGCTTGGTGAAGTGTGTTGTATTGCACAATTCCTTTACTATTCATTACTATTGATGCAACTGGGGACACTAGCCGTAAGCTTAGTAAAGTGTACAGTTTATTGGTCTGCTACGAAGAAAAGCCAGTACGGAAACTACAACTACACCAAGTATATATACCAATTCGGTTCCACGCATTATGTTCATTATTTGTGTCATTCGTTTGATTGGAAAACTAAAGAATACAACTTCCAGTCAGCGAAGTGAACAAACAATATAAGTAAACATAGGGAACACATCAAGATATTCATGAAGGTTGCAATCGTCTATGAAAAATTAAATGGAGTGAAAAGAGATCAAGACGCGGCATCACTGATGCAGTGAAATCGATGAGGTTGTTTGGAGAATAACGTTGTGGTAATCGAAAATTCAAAACTGCGAACAATAATTAACGATCTGCGAAAACGTTAGGATTAAACCGACACGAACGAGTCAAAACTCTGTACTTCTGTTGTTTCAACGACAGACATCAAAATTTTGCGTACTCAGAAAGCTTTAAGTTAGTCTGGAAAATGCTCGGATGAGGTTTGCAATTTTTAATACAAAATCTCAATTTTTCAGGTATGAAGTCATTCCTTAAAATAAGAGTAGGGGAACGTTAGAGTATCACACTTGAGCTTGTAACTCAATAAAAACTTAATATAACATAGCACTTCCATGTGCACGCAGAAGGCTCTTTCAAATGGACGAAATTTCGCCGACTCTCTCTAGGTCTTGATTGCGTCATAATTCCACTTTGGCATTCTCTTGCACGCGGCCCGCATCTTCGTCTTCGCCTGTGGCGTCTGTACCGTCGGGGTCTTGCTGATTAGCTTCGTCAGGCTCGTCGTCCGTGATGTCGTCGAGCTCATCTTCGTCTGTCGTAAACAACACTTGAATTAACTTCTTGGCTTATCAACTGAGAAGTCTTCGTGATTTGAAGAGAAATTAATTCCAGACGCAGTATGTAGATATTTCGATGAATATTTGAAGAAATAATGGAATGCTATGCTTCATGTTTCAATACTTGTAAGATGCATTATTTGATTTCCGTCATTTTGACACCTTACATTCATACGCCTAAGGTGAAAACAAGAGGATAATGTGTTTGCACAGTTTTACTGCAAGATGAAATGATGACCACAAAATAGCGACACTATGCTTAATAATAGACGTCAATAGAAAACATTCACTGCGGTGACTTTAAAACATCTTGTAAAGAGGAATATAAATCAGCTTACTCATATACTTATGAGTAAGCTGATAAGAGGTAAGTAAGATTCATAGAACTGATAACAAACGAAAAATGTGCGAATGAAGCAAAAAGTTTAACGGCAAAAAAACATGATTCTATCTACCATAATTATAAATGTTGCGACGTGAAACACCGTAATAATAAGTTACACTATTGAGAATCTTATAAATAACGACTAGATCACCAACATGCCATTAGAGCTGCCAAGTGAACACGACCTTTCACTTTCACTGCAGAAAAATGCAGCCCAAAACTTAACAAATCCGTTTAGAACGTAAGATACCTCGACACGAGTTGGTCTGAAAAATTCTCTGGATTGAGCTATCATGTTAAAATTAAGTAGGAAAAGAAGAAAACCTAATTGAATTAAAATACTAACAGACCGCATGTTAAGAAATCCATCACCTTGCCCAATTTTTTCTGGAAATTTTGTCATTCTCAAACTAAGGGTAGAATGGAATTTGTGAACTGAACATCTGTGAAGGCATTATCGTAACACCCATTTTCAAAGTTAAGTTGAGAAGAAACAATTTTAGAAAAATCCTGCAAATATAAACACAGTACTTATAGAGAAGCGAGGTAAGCTAAACACGGCGCACGTTACTCCCAGTAACAAAAACTGTTGGTCGTCGTTTTAACATAAATTCAAGCTCAGTGTCTTTTAGAATAAAAAATTAAATTGATAAATGAAAAAATTCAATCCATTGTTGATCTCTTCACAACCGTAGTCTTTGAATGCGTTGCAACACATCGACAAATGCCCCTAAAATGAATTCGTCAAAAGTAAAGGTTTTCATGTCAACGTTTATAATATTCGGTACGAAAACTGTGTGAGCTCGGCGAAAATGGCCCCTGATGGCTAGCGACAATATCGACCATTTTGCGTTGATAAAAATAAACACAATGTAGCACATTGAAATAACCGTATTAGAAAATGAAATACTTAAAATATTGAATGAGAATCGGGACATGTATTGCGAATAAAAATAATTTCACAATTCGAACTTTGAGGCGCATGGAATAAAATATCCATGGAATGACTTGTATCGACATGCGCATGAACATCAGTCATCCACAGCGTAGTTGGAGCTCATGGTGACTGGCATTTGGACGGCAGGGTCGTCGGGTTGGTGGATGTAGGAGAGGTAATACTCCGACCCTGTGATGTAGACGGCAACACTGAGACCCACGATGGCGGCCAGAATGGTGTGGCGCTGTAGGATGATGCACGTCGCCACGGTGAGTCCCGCGTACGTGATGTAGCGTGCCATCTGTAGGTTGCGCTCCCGGGCCGCGTTGCTGTTGTCTACAACGGCATGTGTTGGCTATTCAACTATGCGTGTGGCATCTAAAACGGCTCAAAATTATACCAGTAAAGAAATTCTGCAGACTTGAGATAAATAATCAGTATAAGAAGCTGGCATTACTCACCGACACACATGGCTCTCTCCTCATCCAGCGTGTAGCCCTCGGCACATTTGTCGCACATGTCAGGGCCGTCGCCGTCGCATCCCTGGCACGCCTTGTCGCACGCTATTGGCAAAGCGTAATATGAATACAAATAGACAAAATACTAGCAGAGAGCAAGGCCGCCAAGCAGTATATATGGCTTGAAATTCAAGAGTTTTGATTTTCCTCAACAACCACTAATAATGAGAAAAGATATTGACGATTTTCGAATAAGTAGCAATCCATTACATGTGCATCAACAATTTTTCCCGTGAACAGGTATCTATCATAACACAAACTTGACCCTTGTAAATCAAAGATTGTTTACAGAGAACAGTTAACCAATATGCATCAATAAATACTCTGGTAGTCATGATTTAAATTTGCTACATAATAACTAAGCCAAATACGTATGAAGCGGCAGCCAATTTAATGCACATGTACAATATTTCAATTCATTTCAAGATATCATAAATCATCATGCTCAGACAACTATTACAACTTGGAAGTCGGATCAAAATGCTCGATATGATACAAAGGTACAAAACACTAAGAACCAACATGGAAGCACGTAACAATTAAATTAAAGTCGACTCAAAATCAGCTTACGTCGAGACACTGAAATAGCACATACCAAAACCTGATAACGGTTTTGTCCAAAATTACATACTAATGATACTACTGCCTTTTACTTTATTATTCCAAAGTAAATATTCAATATATATAACTGCACACAGCTCTAAAGAACATGGCAGGGCAGGATTACACGACAATTAATTTTATACTTCCTTAGCTTACCTAAACAAGAAAAGGAACCCTCGTTGTTAACGCAGAATGTGTTACCAGCACACGGGCTGGGCTTGACCAAACATTCGTCAACATCAATGCAACCGCGCTCTGTCTCCATACGCCAACCTTCCTTACAGGCAACGCAGGACTTGGGGCCCGCCTGCGTGGGAAGCAATACTTTTTGTAAATGTGAACCTCCTTGGAGAGCTTCAATGAGTCAATACCATTAGAATTAAATGTTTATTACCTATAAACTTTGTTTTTACTAGATTAAGATCTTATATTGACAACAATATACTAGAAGAAAATCACGAACAAATTTAGGAAGATTCATCATATGTTATGTAACTTGTGTAGGGGTAGAATCACGTAATATTCTCACAGAATTTTATAAACTCTAATTTTATTATAGTCGAAAATTTATTGGTCAGAGATGCAAAACACACTTAAAACGTTCTAAACAATCTTGCTCCAGCTCAAACCATCAAAATCAGGAAGCCATGAAATCTCCTAAACAAACTTTTTTACCAATTTAAATATCATTAAATGAAATCAAATAATGAAGAACTCACTGCCGTGCAGGGGCCATTACAAGCTTTATGACACGCGGAGCATAGCACGTTCTTTTCATCCCTGAAAGACTCGTAGAAGCCAGAAGCACAGGCATCGCATAATGTAGAATTGTAGCCGTCATTACACAGACACTCGCCGTTGCCTTTACGAGTGCCATCGCCCTTATCAAAAATAAACCATAGAACGATGTTTCAGATCATGTGTATAGATATTCATACTGATACAACACAAGATGCCTACACAGGTATAGAGGAGGCTTCTAAGAAAGTGCAGTTTCACAAAAAAAGGTTTCAGCTGAAACGGAGCGGAAACGTGATTATATATAGAAATTAACAATTTTATTGATGTTCTTCACAGGAAAAGGTAAATTTTGAGAGTAAAATAATGTTCTTCCTAACTAGAGTACATTAATTTAAAAACGTCATAGACATATAGGATCAAGTCAACATAATAGGACACTTCTGTTTCTTATTAAATGTAAGTTCTTCGTTCTTCCTAGTAAGGTTCCAACTCATTTTAGATGGTAATAGTTGAAAGAGGGAGATGGACCAACATACAAACTGAAAAATGAGAACTTTTGTGATTATTGGGCCAAAAGTAATACAACAAAATGGCTACAAAAGTGCTGCAAATTTTACTGGATAAAACCTTGCTCAGCATAGCTTAACTGTCAAAGTTACACCTAAGAAACTGCTTGCCATTTGCACTGAAAATGAAACCAAAATGAAGAAGGCATGGAATTATTTGAAGTACCAATTTTTACGCATTCATTCCTGCAAATAGAATTTTGTACTGTTGTGGGCATTCACTTTTGACATTGAGGTAGATCCTATTATTAATTGGTTTTTGATAGACGGATGTGATGAACATTTTGCCAGCTTCTACTTTGACATCCTTGAAATGTATTCATTTACCAGAGCCTAATTTGGGAATGAATTTTGGAACAGAGTTAATTTCAAATAGGTTCTTAGCTACGAGAGGTAATCATTTGCCTCTATAACTAAAAAACAATCGTTGACGTATCTGCAACAGATGTAGGGTTTAGATTGGTGGTTGTTGTGCAGAATTTCAGTTTTGAGTGTAGTCCTTTAGAAAGTTAAATTATAAATAAATTTTATGGAAAATTGGTAAAATATATGATATATGTATATATACCTATACCATCATATACTAACTCAGACGAAAGCTACAGATTAGAGAACATTTAAAAAAAAACTAAATAAAATACCCATTACAAAGAAGCACAAGAAAATGTATGAAAAGGAATTGAATTTTTTTACACCAATATGCTTTTACTTTCACAGAGACTTGATCATCCTAAGTAAGACCAAAGAAAACTACTCTCTTTTATATGCACTAAAGAATAGAAGAATATACATCATTATGACAGAATATAGAATATAGGTACCTACTGTAATCATACCAATAATAGAAAAATATAATCACAGCAACAAAGATGACATTAATGAAAAGTGACATACCTTGCACTTGCCATGTCCTGAGCATGGTTTCTCCACACCCCCAGTGCAGGGTAGGCAGTTAGGGCCAAAGTGATGGATAGGACAACAAACTGCCAGTTTGCCAATGCACAGCCAATCATGCAAGCTCTCCGCTTGCCCTTCAAACCACCATTCCTCTAGTAGCCGCTCATGGTCTTCTGCAAGCCCCTCACACTTGGAAGAAAATGCATCGTGAATGAAAATGTGTCATCACATGAAAAAATATAAAAAAAAAACAAAGAAGTTCTCAGTTAAATTAATGTGGTTGTTGAGTTAAGTTGAAAAACAATACATGAATTTCTACAGAAAATTTTTAAGAAAATAAATTTTACATGCTTAATTCTCTATCAAGCCCTAGAGGCCAGATCTCAACAATTACTCACCTGCTTTTGAGCTCGGTCAACTTCAGAGCAGAGATGTTCTTGGATTTCAACTAGTCTAACTTCAGAGGTTTTATATGATCCCATCTTTTCTTCTTCCCACGCAGCATCTCCACCTTCAAATTTGCTTCGACTTGTTCTCTCAAGGCCCTGAAACATAATACTAATTGTTAAGAACTACTTTTCTTTCAAATAAATTTAATTTCAATTAATTGGCAAGCAAAAATTCACATCATTAAAGTGAAAATGTTCAATTTTTATTAAAAAATCATTTTGAATAATACATACAATTTTTTACCTTTTTGAAAGAATCAGTAAGCATTCTGCAGGCGGCACAAGGTGGCAGCTTAACAGATCTCAATGACTCTTTTTCTGATGCTTTCAGGCCCTTTGGTGTAATAGTTGATGAAGCTGTGCCAGCTAATGCTCCACCATAAACAGATAAAGACATAATGACTAGAATAAACTTCAAAACCATCGTGAAATGAAATAAAATCACACAGGAAGTGTTCAACAAACAGTTACAAGCAAAACTATTATTTAATTCATCTGGAATACAAAAGTTAATACTATATAGCTGAAGATTTCATTTTTAGCAAAATCCCCACATTATAAGTTCACTACCTACAAAGCATAATTCAAGTAATGTGCATACTTGATCCATAGTGGCAATTAGTGACTTTTTTTGCCCTTCCTAATAGAGTAAGATAATATCAGACCAGTATTACAAAAATAATAGTATAATAACACAACTTATTATCATCAAAGGTATCTTGAAATAAATAAGAAAATTAGAAACAAACGAGATTAAAAAAAAATTTCTCAATTGCCACTATGCTCTAATTTGGAATATCAGGAAGAAGTTTTCTAAAATGGGGTGCTAGGGGATGCTTTTTTTTTTTTGCTGATAACTTCTTACCAATTATTATAAAACATTTCATTTACAAGTTTGGGGTCATTTTAAAAGTCTTGGCAAAGGCCAAGACTTTTATCTCTCTGACATCTCAAGACTTTATATGGCATCTCTGAAATAATTGCTTAGGCTAAGCCACTTGTTGTAAGGTGCTAGATGCAGAATAAAAGCATACTGAATTACCCCTGGGAACAAAGTAATTCAGGACACTTGAAATTTAATTTTTTTGTTGGCTTTAGGCCTTGGATCCTTTGCTAATGGCTAACTGAGGTTCTACTGTAAATGCGTTTTTAGGAGTGTCCTTTTTAGCGCGCTTTCTCATTTATGGAAAAAATGCACTATTGTGCTCGCCAGTCGCCATGTCTGTCTGACTGTCGGTCTGTCCATCCGTCCGCCTGTCCATGACCTCAAGTTTTTGTCGACGAGAAAATGCGCTGTCTGTCATCACTGCTGTGAGTAATGACTAATGAGTTATATTTTTAAAACAGTTGTGCAGAAATGGCCACCATTTTGTTTTGGATTGAGGTACAAAAATTCTGTCAATAAAGTTTTAAAGCAAACACCTGTCTGTAACTTTTTTTAAGCAAAATTTTCTAATAAGGGCATAAGGCAAATATTTTTTATACAACTGAACAGACCATAGCAGAAGTACTTCTTCAAAATATCACTTCTCAACATTTTTTCAGGGATATTAGAGCTATTATTTTTATGCAATATAGATAGGGGAAAATGTTGAAGTTTACCCCAGTAACCCCACTAGGGTAAACGCGGTATATTCCGACATCGTAGGTAATTCCGTCACTTCTCTAGTTTATCCTTTATATTAAGCTTTGTTTTAGTTCCATGCGAGACGTTTCATCGTTGCTGACGCGTAGTGAAGTGTTTTGAGAGTCATGTGAAGGCAACAGAACTTACGTAACGCATACGGTTTTTTTTATAGTTTTTCATTTTTCGATGCGTCCTTAAAGTGTCGGAATATACCGCGTTTACCCTATTTTTAGTTTTGCAATATTTCAATTAGTTTTGCTGCTAATACATTTTTATTCTATATGACAGAAGACCATCATGATTCATGATTTACCCTGCCTGTCTCTGCATTTGACGCATTGACGGTATGCTTCGAACCATGACGCCCGCTGATGACGGTATGCTTTGACGGTACGCATTCATCTTGCTTTGAAGTTTGAATGGCTTTATTTAATCAGTCAGTCAAATAGGCTATCATCATCATGTATTTATCAAACTAGAATTTATTCTGTTCAACTCTGCCTTTTGGTGAATTTTTAACATTCATATGAGTTGGTGTTTTGGTGTATTGTTATTAAAGCAAAATGCAATGCTACCGGTGAGTACCGGACCCGCGGATCGGTAAATGCATATCGTCGATATCTGTGATTAATATGTCGGTGGTTTCTGGTTGTCACACTAACTGTCACTAAGGCCTAAGCAATAATGTATCCACGATACTTACTCGGCTATCTGAAAGCTACCCGTTACTACAAAAAAAAGGCCGGCTAGGATATCATATTGAAAAGACTACAAACTCGATGGTAGAGACTGACTTAGCTTAGGGCCGAATCGGCCAGGCCGATCGAGGATTCCACACGATGGTTGCGCATACCTCCATCAGACTTGGCAGCCCATAGACTACTAGCCTTAAGTGTCAAAACTGTGTCATAAGTGACGTAAACCAATCACATGTAAACACATAAATCCTACCCCAAACAAAATAAAAGTTGCTCTAAAGTCTTTTACGAAAATTCTAGATTTGATATCAGAATGATCATTGTAGAACAAATAATAGATAATTACCAATAACCTAATTATTTCATGTGAATTCCAACTTAAAATGTGAAAAATTTGAAAGAATCTATTATATATATATATATGGCCGAAAAACGAATATAAGCCTGGCGAGGATAGGTTGAATAGAAAGCTACACATTAATAGAGCATCCGTGTTCCAATGTATTATTAAAAATAGCTCGGATTCAAATAAGTAAAGAAGTCAAATTTTATCGAGTCAAGCAATTTCCAGCGATTTTAACTGGAAGTTTTATCGATCTTGTTGTACCGGTAGGTTTTCCAGCGCTTCAGAAATTAGAAATCGATTTCGCGCCGCAATTTGAACTTTCAGCTCCGTGTTCAGTAGGTTTCAAAACTGTGGTTTGATGTTGGTAGCTAAGAATTTCTACATTCTAGCGGAGAAAGAGCGCTGTCGAAGGGGCTTCATCATGGGTTAATGTTCAGCGTGAGATTATATGGCATTCTGGCCTTATCTACTTATGGCTAGTGACATTGGGGGCATCAGTCTAAAGTTTCCGGGAAAAAATATGTTGAGTGTCGCTTCAAATTTAATGTTCTGCATTTGAATCGGCTACCTCCCGCGGGGTAACAGAAGCTGAGAAGGGGTTTCGTCACTCACAACCTAAATAATACGCAAATCTTCACCGTTTGCTTGGCGCTCAATAATAAATCTGTAAAAATCGCACGTCGGGAATTACAAGACAAGAAACGCACGCTCTACAATATTCCTCTAGCTGTTCTGCTTTCAATGGCGAATTAGAGGCTCACATTCATCTTGGATGTACTAACCGCGAGTTCATAAAATAGAAATTTCTAATAGAATCTTCAATGAAACAAAATCGCACACATATCAATTCAAAAAAGATATAAGCGAACTGAAAGGTTAATTTAATCTATCAATGTCTCAATACGCAAAACCAAGTAATTGAGTAGCCTTGCATGCAGATGGTTTGCAGGACCAAAATAAAAATATGCCATTTGTACAACTTTATTAACAGCTTCAATTAGGCTACCTAAAAAGAGATCTTCTGTGAATAAACGACACAGAACGTTATCTACGCCAAAATTTTCTCTGTTTTGACCCAACCATACATACCAGAATGAAGGACGCTTTTCAAATCCACAACCAATATACTCTGGTGGGAAGTGAAGCAGATTTGAGAACTCTACATGTTATTTACAAAACAGATATTACGGAAGACAAACAATTTAAGGAAACAATATTATAATCTAAATTCTAACAAAACTGTATTTCTGGTTTCGGGCAAATGAATATACACACTCGTAAAACAGACTAGATCTTTCTGAGCAAAGCTTCACATCTACTTCAACGACAAGTCGATGTTCATGCTAAAAAAAAAACCTTTGAACTGGAGTTCACTCAGCATTCACGCAACGCAAATTGATTGGAAGTGATTATTTGATCAACAAATTTAGAAAGTGCTTGTATGCAACATTTCAAAGAAAATAATGTTTCGCAGCAGGACCTTCTCCTAACAGTCCTACCGAGATGACTATGACATCGCCCGAAGACCTCCTGATACCTAAATACGACGAACAGGTCTCTAGAACCCATGACCTCACTGACAATAAATTATTGTTGAACCATAATTTTTAATTTGCCCCAATATAACAGGCTCAATAATTAATTGTTTGATTATTTATCCACGTTTTAGAATAATAATTGCTGAATTGCTGAACAAAATGAACTATCAATAACAGGAGGATTGCACAAATTAAGTAGCCATGAAGGCGCATGTTTGAATCATCAAGCAGGCGGTCCAATGAGCATGAAGATTGAGAATCATCTGGTCTGTAACAATAAGAACAGGAAAAAGTGAATGATTGGATTGCTCTTACGAGGGTTTTTCTTTAAGGAAAGAGATTCTAATGGCCCATGTTTGAAGCACATCCAGAGTGCGGAGTGCTAGCAGCACGCTGAAGCTCACCGAGCACAGTGTCACCACCAGGCCGACGCTCTCGAAAATTAAATGAGGTGCAAATATCTTCCACATCATGAGATGACGTCTCAGGAACAGACAACTGATGCATGTGAGCAGCACCTGTAATGGCACAAAATAAGAGAAAAATTAATACGATGTTCATATAAATTGTTGGTGCACAAACAGCACGTTAGAGAAATTACAGTCTTTCACGCTTTAAGCTTCCCATGCATTCGAGTAATTTGCTTTTTTACTGATGATAATCTATCAAAGTATTGTGGAATATCCATTCTTTATATACCTAGAGAGAAGCACTATCTATATATGATTTTTTTGTGACCGTCAAAACTACAGGCAGCCTTCAAATAACTTAAAACCTAACCAATACAATCCCGTTTACACTTATTTAATTAACCTCGTATTAATTTTTCTCTCTCGTGTTGAAAAAGAGGCATCATGTGAAATTTAATACGAGTTTTATGAAATTTAATACGAGACTGAATCGAGGACTATTCAGAAACTAGGGAACGTTTTGTAATAAAACAAACTAGGTACAGGAAAAATATTTTATTATATACCATACTTCTGAAAGAGTGACTAAAATGCTACTTTTTTACATGGTCACCAAAAAAAAAATTAAGGCTTTTATAGTAGCGGTAGACAAGCTTCGAAATTTCTTCGTCATAGAAAACCGCCGCCTGCGATCTCAACCACTCAGTGACTAGACTCATTCAAATGGGAGATTTTCCCACGTCCACCCTACAGTGCCGACCTAGCACCGAGTGATTTTCACTTGTTCCAGAAGATGAAGAACGGTCTAGCGACACAGCATTTTGATGAGTACGACGAGCTCCGGGCGCGCGTCACTGAGTGGCTGAGATCGCAGGCGGAGGATTTCCATGACGAAGGAATTTCGAAGCTCGTCCAAAATACTACTTTAAAAGCCTTAATTTGTTTAGTGACTGTAGAAAAGTATCATTTTAGTCATTCTTTCAGATTTACGTAATTTAATATTTTTCCGGTGCATAGTTTTTGTTTTATTAAAAAACGTTCCCTAGTTTACGAATAGCCCTCAACGTGGTCTAAGGCGGCGCTCCACTGTGGCATGAGGCGGCACAACGTGGCCTGGGACTGCAACGTCCGGAACACATGCTAAGGATACTTACGTTTTATCCTGAAACAAATCCCTCAAAAATCTATCGTAGCATAGTGTACCTTGGCACAATGCAGTGAGACGTAGGAGACAGCAAAGCTGCTCAGCGATGCTAAAAACACTTCGGGCCGATCCAGCAGCACGAACTCTCCTCGCTGCAGCTCGTCTCCAGATCTGACATAAGAAATTGCGATTATGGGTTTCTTCGTGTCTTTTGAAAGGAAGAATTTTCGAGGAGATACTGGCTTCCTCGCAGGACACTGGATCGCAGGACATAAAAGCAATGTACGAAGTAGACCATCATAATCAGAACAGAATGTATTGAGCAGTGAAGATTCAAATGCTTAATTTGAAACAGGACAAATATTCAATATTAAGTACGTGAAATTTAACCATGTAGATTACTTGAATGAAGGGAAAAATATAACTCAGTACTCACTGCAGTGAGTGACAGAGAGCGCATTTTCTCGTCGACGAAAAAGTGTAGTTACGGACGGACAGACAGACAGACGGACGGACGGACATGGCGAGCACAATAGTGCATTTTTTCCATAAATGAAAAAATGCGCTAATAAGGTTGCATTTCCATTTAATAGCTTTTTTGAGGTAGGTATTCAGTTATACTTCCAGATGACGGAAAGAAGTTAGCTTTCTTCTTTCTTAAACTTGAAGCAATTGGTTGGTTTTACAAGCTCAAGGCAGGGCACTCACTTCTTCTTCCTGAGGGTAGGCAGGATGGCCCCGAGAGTTAGGGGAGCAAGGGGCAGCAGCGGCAGCAGCAGGCCCAGCAGCAGGTGACCTGAGAAGGTGTGCAGCAGCACCAACAATGCAGGTGCCAGTGTCCCTCCTGAGGGTAGTTACATAATAATATGTATTTTCATAAAGTAGAACATCATAATCAGCATCGAATATATTGTGCAATATACAATCTATACATATACAATATTCAATGCCATATTATAACATAATATGCAATAGAGGTATATCCAATATTATTTTCTCTACGGGTCAAAAGAAAAAAGATGTGACCAGAATTTTGAATGAAAATAAATAATAAAGCTTCAATAAATTGTAATGATCAATTTCTATGGTATTTTCCTGACTAGAGAAAGTACCTTCCGGGTCATAAATAGTTATGAACTCCAATTAATTACACAGTCAAAATGCATTTAGAGAATATGAAAAATAATGAAGAACAATAAAAGAATATTAATAAACAATTTTTCTTATAAATCTGTGAAATCGCGTTTAACAGCCTTCCCACTATAAAGACTATTTTGGGTATAAAGACTATTTTTTTGGGTATAAAGACTATTTTTTGGGGTATAAAGACTATTTTTCGGCCTTCCCCTTTATAAAGACTATTTGTGACAAGCTTCAGAGAAGCGTTGACCTCTACGAACCTGCGCCCGTCTCGACGCGTCCCACGAAGGCAGCGGACCAGGGCAGGGTGGGGAAGGTGGTTTGGTGGCCCGTGGAGTAGAAGCCGTGCAGGCTGAGCAGGCACCACACCACAGGGCCGACCCAGCGCAGCCGCATCACACTGTCTGCGATATCGTAAAACATCACAACAAGGCTGACCCTCTATCATTCAATAATAATGCATTTAAACCGTTTGTAACTGGAAATAAATTGTCTACAAACTTCACTTTCAGGTGAATAATTATAAACTAAATTGAGAATTCCGACTCAAACACAGAAAGAACTGGCAATTATAGGATGCGAGGCTAGACAGTAATTGCTATCATCAGCACGTATTGCATTTGAATTTCAAACCACGTACCCAGAAGAGGGTTTTGCCAGCAAATTGCGGCATGCAGGAAGCAGAAGCCGGCGACGGTGAGTATGAGCAGCAGCAGCGGCAGCGCCATACCGTCGCCCACCAGCAGCAGCACCACAATTGCAGCCATGCTGCCCGTGGTTACTAGAGGCGCCGAAATGGCCGTTGCTAGTCCATACACAACAGGAGTCTCACAATCCGAATCAGGCCGTTTGTTACGGCCGAAGTCTTCTTTGAGATTATTGAATAGTTCTGGAATGAGCATGTGGGCGTTCGTTACGTTATACTGGCGTTTATTTTTATGCAGTTGGAATATCAAAAGAGGTTTGACGAAAGTTATCAGGATAGTTATAGCAGCAAGCGCATAAATTACGCGAGGAGGGTAGTTCATGTAAGTTAATATTAGGGCAGATGGTTTAGGCACAGCATCAAGAGCCCAATAAGTCGCTATCATAACGCCGCATATTATGGTGGCGTTTCTGTAGACAAAAACAGCAGCCCGCATTCCGTTCAAGTTTCCACAATAGCTGAGCCACTGACGAGGTAGACTAACTGTTAGGATGAGGAGAAAAACTCCGATGAAGAAGCGCTTGTTCTGCAGGGCGCTATCGATGCTGGACAGTGGGAGGTAATTAGTGGATGGTTCACAGCTGCTTTGTTCTTCACGACATCGCCGATACGAGGAACTCCATCGAACTGCCACACCCACAACAATGAAGACTGACACGGCAATGTAAGCCAACACGGAGGAGATAGAAGCTTGGTTCTTTATTTTGCCCTTCTCAAACGTTCTTGTCTTGTGGATAAGGAGAAGTCTCAACGTTGAATAAGCAAGAAGCGAGACGAGTGAAAAGCCTATGACAGCATCTTCATGAACGACAAAACTATTGGAGAAGCTACTACAACACACAAAGCCAAATATTAACAAAGGCCATAAATCTTTGTATGCAGCATAAACACTCAAACTATTAACTTTGCTGGCATGAAAGACGACGACAACACCAGCCAAAAAGGCTGGAATAAAATTCAACACAGGAAGAGGCAACCAACTTCTTAGTAATAATGTAAACATTATTATTGTACAAATAGCACAATTGCCCTTGAAAAAATATGTGAATATTTCTTCTTTCTTCGTTAAGGATAGTGAGATTATAGCCAGATTAGTCAATGCCACAATCATGAGGAAAATTCCGCCAGCCATGGCAGTCACATCGAAAGTCGCCCACACTTCTTCACACATCGCTTTAGCAAGGCTTAAATATTCCTCATATAGAGACTTTCTACGCATTAAAAGATGATTCTTTATCTGTTCCAAATCCTTGCCCACAGCTTCTTCTTTCAGTGAAGATTTATACGCTTCCAAATGAGTGCTATTACTCAAGTTAATCCTTCCGATATCGTCTATATCTACTTTGAGAGAGACCAGCTTTTGCCACATACTCAAGGGAAATCTGTTTGATGAGAACTTGTCGTTGTAATGAGAAAGATATCGATGTACTTGCTTAACGTTTAGGCTGAGAGCCATCACCTGATCTTGCAGCGAACCAAACAACTGTGGCACAACACTCCCAATACTCGAGTAGGGGATAGGAACTCCCAATAATAGAGACACGGTGGGCACTAGGGACACTTGTTGTATCAAGTGGGGTGTCTGATGTCTCCAATCACCCACAGGAAATATTTCCCCTTGGAACAGCAACTCATTGATATTGGACTCGTTTGTATTGGTGCTGCTGTGAGGCGAGGAGCGGTAATAAGAACTGAAATTCTTCACTAATCCTGGACTGTAGACGAAAAATGCAGCCGTAACTTCAGCGTCAGAGTCGCCGCCATGATCTCCCGTGGCTGTCATGCCGTGGTCGCCAAAGACGAGCAGCAATGTGTCGTCATGAATTGATTGTGCAACGTGCCTGGTGACATATAACATTGGTATTACAATTAACGCCATTGAGAAACAAACAAATCTGAATTCGTAATGCAATTTAAAAAACTAAAGTACATGATTTTTATAAATATTAATTTGTAGATGTTGTGAGAAAAGAATAAATGATCTTTATCTCTACATCATGAAGCCTGAATACAACAATTAGATTAATCACAGTTGAAGAAGCTTCATTACCTAATTCGGCAGTGTGCTTCTTAAAGCCCTAAATTCGTCATAACTTTGAAGCCCAATTCATTGTTATTCCTGACTTGTTTTCATGATTTTGCTACAATTAAAGCACCTAAACAAAAAGACAATATCCATCCGTTCCTTTCAACTTGAAAATACTACCTTATTTGGAACACAGACGTCATAAATTAAACATACACGTCATAAAGAGCATTGAAGAGCGGGAGCTGAATTGTATGGTAGGAATAGCAAGTGAAGTGCACGTCCTGAACGGTGATCGAGGCCTAATAACAACAGTCAATATCTGATCTCAAGCACCCCTAGTCGGTAACAAGTCTGTAATGACCTGGTGATTGATTTACAACTTAACAACAACAGTCAATGTCTGTTCTCAAGTACCCCTTTTCGTCGGTATCAAGTATGTAATGACCTGGTGATTGATTTNAACAACAGTCATTGTCTGTTCTCAAGTACCCCTATTCATTGGTACCAAGTCTGTAATGACCTGGTGATTGATTTACAACTTAACAACAACAGTCAATGTCTGACATAAAGTTCCAATGTTCGTCACCCACTCTGACCTGACAACATCGTTCATCTGACGCAGCTTGCGCGTCATGCTGGGGTGATTGGGGCCATAGCGATGACCCACGTGGTCAACGCCCAAGAAATGAGCAATGAGAACATCACACCGGGGGTTGTTTAACTCTGCATCTAAGTGCTCCAGTATTCCATTGTCTACCGTGTCCAAGTCCCAAACATTGAATGATGGAAATAAGAAGTCCCGATTGAAGCTGGATAAAAGAGATATAAATAATCAGAAAATCAAATTGCAGTCTTGCAGTAGATGTATTTTATAGCAATTATTAGGAAAAATTAAACACCAATTAGATGTACCTATAAAGAAGAACAATTGTATTACAGTGCACTTAAAAGTCATATCTGTACCTGAGAATTAATGATAGTATTATTCAGTTTTTATGAAATTTCTCAAATGAAATTTCGCTGTAAATGTTATGAGTTATTTATTAATGCAGTGATGCACAATCACATTGCAACTAAAATAGGAAAGAAAAGATTTCAGAAGCACAATTGATTCAAAATCAAAAGGCAGAAAAAGTTTACACCATCTAACTTTTAAATTCTGTTTACCTACTAGCGCAGTAAGAATTTATAGGGAAAGAAATGGAATGATTATATAGAGGCATTAAGAGCAACAGCACAACAATGGTTTATATAAAATACATATACAGTGGGGGGAAATAAATATTCGTACACTTGAAAAATCGTATTTTAATGTATGTAAGTACACAAACTTAACAGGAAAAGTGATTTAAATTATGTATAGAGACGCATAGTATTAATGCGTCTCTATACATAATTTAAATCACTTTTCCTGTTAAGTTTGTGTACTTACATACATTAAAATACGATTTTTCAAGTGTACGAATATTTATTTCCCCCCACTGTATATAACTGTGCTCGTAACTTGACTACAAATGTTTGTTGCATTCAAAACATTGTTAATAAACTGAAACTACTTCCTGAACCATGCCTTTCGATCTACCAATGTCATCTACAGCATAATCAACTCTCTAATAATTTAAATAGGAATTCTTTGGCTTCTAACTCTCTGATAATTTGGATCAACAAATATATGATTAAGCATATCTAAACTGAGAATTGCATCCAATGCTACCTGTTTGGGAATAGATTCCTCCAGGTGTCGTCACCAAGTACGGTGATGCTGCGTCCATGCTGCTCCAGCTGCAGAACCAAATTGTCTTCACTGATACTCCCACTGCCAGACATGTCAAGCTAAAGTTTTAACTTGTGTTTCAAGTTATCAATAAGAATAAAATGAACAATCAACAAATACTTTGTTGTTTTTATCATGTATGGCATAATTTTGAGCCACACAATACAATGTAGCAGTATACTGTTCTGAGCCCAGCAATAAACAGAATCTGTGACATCAAACCAATGCTACAACCAGTGATGCATGTAATTTGAGGGTTAATCACTGGTTATGGAAAATTTTCAACAAATAGATGTCAAAGAAACAGCAAATGTAATAATTTCAAATGTATATATAGAAGTTTAAAAACAGCTAAGGTGCCATAAATCATTACTGATTGGGAAAACTTCCTAAAAATTGGTAGCTATGTATAAGCTGATATTAACATGATTATTCTGTAATTAGGTTTAAAAAATTTAGTGCAGAGGGAGTTACTTGTGAACAATAGTAAATTTAAAATGACTCACTATTTACTGAAAAGTATTTGCAATTGCAGGATTTTATATTCATCTTTTCAATCATTTAAATATTATTCAAAAGACATCACATTAAATGTCGAGGTAGGCACATGTTGTGTGGCCATGTAACAGATACAACGTTTATACCTTCAGGCTGCTGGATATATCACACCAAGATTGGCTACAACTGTAGTGGTAGTTATTAACTGATAGTTGACCATTAAACTGAACAGTCAGGCAAGTACTACCATGGCCAAGTAGCTTGTGCTAAACTGGCCTGCAAAATAGTGCTGTTGATCTCCAACTCTACTTAAACCCTTGACCATAGAACAAAAAAGGCTGATGGATAGCAAAGCCAGGGAACTGATATACGTGTAAATCTTAGATTTTGACCAGCAAGAAATAGGAAGACATGAAATTTTGAAATCATCATGTGTCATCCTGGCATTTGAGCTGTGAATATTTGTTCTTGATGTTACAATATGATTTTGCAATTTATTAAAGTCTTTGAAATAACATTGAATAAACAAGGATTGTAGCAGCTCAAGCACTGTCCCAAACTAATCCAAGTTTTCAATAAAATTCACCTGTCAAAGTTTTGTGCCAAGTCAATGAATGTAGGCAATCCCCCAGTGATGAGGCCTTTGAGCCGCTGCATGGTGGTGGTGGGGGCATCCGCAATAAATTTAGCCAGGAAGCCACTGCCCCTCCATGGAAGATGAGTCGTTCCTTAAAATAAAAAAATTCAGCTGCTTTAGTATTCTAGATATGCCTAACAAAGCTAGACAGGAGTGCATAAAATGTATATGATCAAATTAACATGATTTTCACATTAAATTTGTAATTAGTATCAAACCTGTGACATGATAAATGAATGTGTTATGAGATTAAAACTAGCTTGCATCATTTAAAATTCTAAATTTACTTGAACATTTCTATGAATAATTTAAGATACAAGATAAACATTGAGATTGTGCAAATTGAGAATAGTCATGAATAGTTTGGTTTCCATTAATATGCCACCAGTTACTGCATTTTGGATAACAGTGAAAAATGAAAAAGGTGCCAGTATTTAATTTATGTTTTAGTGTGTGGAGAAAAACATTGCTAAAATTCAGAAAGTCTTATTTGCTTAGATTCTCTTAACATTTCTCACCTTTACTGTCAATGTCAGCAATGCCAGATATTATTTCTTTGAAAACAGGCATTTTGTTCAGGAATGCAGGGACAACTGCACTTTTCACAGTATCGTCTTCTGCAGCAAAATCATATCGCAGGCCATCAATGAGGAGCAGAACTGTCTTGTTAAATTTCTTTGGCATCCAGCAGCCATTTTCAGAAAGCTCACCTTAGAAAAATAAATATTGTTTTAAGATTTTCCTCAACTGTCATAGTGATAAATATATTGTTAGGAAATTGAAATTGTAAATTATGAAAACATAGATTTAACACAAATATCATGCATAAAATTTCATTTCCATAGTAAATGTAAAAATTAAGAAATGAAGGGAAATTTTCAAATAACAATCTTACCAAAATCAGAGCAGGTGGAAGCATCTAAAAGTGCATGTCTTGTGAGTAAAAATCCTTGTATGAATACAAGAAGTCCAGCAATGAAGCTTGCCACAGGCAAGACCAGCAGAAGTAACACCTTCCACCTCCCTCCAACTAACACCATTCTGACATTCAGATATTCATCAGGAATATTTTCACTGAAAAATCAAGAAAAAACTTGTTCATTTGATGAGATTAAGGAAGATATCTTTTATATGTCATACAATCTCATGTTTTTTCCAAGCAATTTGTGAGAATGTAGGTACAATGCTTTTCAAATGATAAGACCAATTAAGCAATTAAAACATTCATTCAATTGCAAAGTAGATATACCGAGTGTAGTGAGAGAGTCTACAATGCATGTCTGACTTTGTCCAGTTATTCATCCATTTACTTCTATATATATTGTTATAAGATTATCATAATTCATTAGACATTTTAGACTCAATTGCCTTCAGCAACAATATCTCAAATGGAGTGTCCTTGTTACCTAGTGGTAAGTGGTATTATTTTTTCATACACGGACAGATCACTTTTAAACTTAGTAAGTTGGTACACCGTACACATCTGTAAAAACAGAAAACGAAAACTTTTTTGTTCATGTAAACTGTTTGAAAAAACTTAAATAAAATGCGAAATTCTTAGAAAACAGCCAAGAAGGGGGTACTGTAGAAATTAATCTCCTCCTAGAATTTTCAAGATACAACAAGACACATAGAATAGAAGTGTTGACACTGAAGAAATAGGCCCATGGCCTGTTGCCATGACACATATCATTCAATGCATAAAGACCATATCTATAAATTGTGTTTGCTTTTTTTGAAATTCTTATTTTTGTGGGTGAGGGGGGAGGGCATTGTTTATAAATTTTCCGATTTAACCCGCCAACCCTTCCTTTTTTGTAAATATAATCTAACTATAACATAATTACAAAAAAAGCAAATACAATTCTCTAGATATTTTCTTTGCAAATCACGTGATATGTCTCTCAATGCTGTAGCTTGAAAACTGTAGGGGGATAGGTTTGCAGTGAGAGGAGCCGGAAGGTGCAAGTTTTCAGCTGAGCCGGACTGCCCACTGGTCGCTGCATGCTAAGATACTAAAGTTAGGGGTTATTTCAGTTAGTAGTCAGTCAGAAATGCAGTGAACAATTGCATGATCACCTTCCCGCATAATAGCTTGGGGGTGACTGAAGCTCCACGCCGACACCCAACAGAGCGCACATATATGTGAAGGGAGCAAATTTTGCCCTATAGGCATTTGTTAAAGGCTTTGCTGAACAAAACTCTTTTGTGATCTGCCGTGAATGCATAAATCAACATAGAAATGATTTTGGTACCATTTGATAGGTCAGAATTGCAGCTTTAAGATGAGCATAACAGGAAAAGCTAAAATTTTCAATTTTTGCCCAAGACACTCCCTTTAACTTAAACTTAAAGAAACCTCTGACTCCAGATGTTCTAATTCAAATAATTACAACTATTGCAGATACAGGGAAATCAGTTGTCACTTCCATATACAAACACTATTTTTCAATTATCATTTGCATTAAACAATTATTCACTATATTAAATCACTGCAGCATTGCTGTGACCTGTGATAAGTGTGATTAACAACAGGCAAGATTGCTAAATACATAGTCATACTGTTTCTTAAAATTATTGCAACTCCAAAATTATGGAATTTCAGTTCATTAGTAATCTTGCAGGTTGCAGCTGCTAAGTCATGCATTTTGTTGTTGTTAGCAGCTTGAAGTTGAAGGTGAGGAAGTAGCCGCCTGAAAGCCAAACCCGATGACAATTTGTTACACGGTTATACCTGGACTCAGGGTATTATTTCACTGGTTCTTTGAGTTTGAGATCTTATTCAGTGGGCTTATAGCTTTTGTATCTGAGCTCAAACCAAGATGTTACTTATGCATTACAGAGAAGCCAGGCAATTTGTCTGTGTTAAATAGATGACTGTTGCTCTTATTATTGCATGCTGAACATTTCTGCAAAAGTTGCCTTCTCCAAGAAGTACCTAGCTATCCAAACAGGTGAATGCTGGCAGCTGGACACCCAAGGCTTGCTGCTTGAGTACTATTAGTCATGCATTTAGGTTTTATCAGAAGTTTTTGGTTAACAAATATATACTATGGGTCTTTGCAATTTTGCGAACTGGTGAAGCAATCACTGAGCTCAGCTCAGCATCATGGTAATTGGTAGTGATGCATGGTTGAATTACTTGAATAGTTGAACTACAGAACTAGGTACCGTAAAATGGGGTAACTTAGACCACTTTTATTTTTATAAATGATGCCATTTTTTTACTAGCTAAATTAAACTTGAATTGAAACATGCAAAATACAAGTCAAATAGTTTTTGAGTTGTGGGGGTTTTTGTTAAAAAAACAAAAAGTGGTCTAAGTTACCCCGCCGGTCTAAGTTACCCCATTTTACGGTAGTAGGTAGTAACCATCTCAAACCATCATACCATGGGCCCATGGCATTAATAAATAAATAAAAATAATAGCCATTTCAGTGTCTATTAGGTCGTGGGCCTGTCGGCTTGTCGCCAATTCTAAACATCGCAGAATATTCACAGCTTGTTGCGGTCTCGAATGCGCAACCCGTTGCTCCAATTCTTCAGTGCTTAACCGCCTGGCCTCCCGCCTCTTTACCGATTCTGACCAGAATCCGGCGCACAGAGCTGGGATCAAACCCGCAGTCCGCACCTCTCTGCTCCAATCTTGGTATACTCTGAACGTTAAGTTGATAACCACTGGGCCCTGGCTGTGGCTAGCATTGATCTAAATCAGTGGTTCCCAAATTTTTTTTCAAGCTGGCGCCTCCTTTGGCTCCCCACTTCCCCAGTGAATCTTAAGGGTAGGGCAGGGCCCCCCCCAGGCCCCTGGCCCCTGACAGACAAATAAAAACAAACGCCTCTTTCTCGATATATAGTAGGTAGGTACCCAGCAATTTAAAAGTGAAATGTTAAAAACAAATGTGTATTTCATAAATAAAACCCCTTTTAGTAGACCAATATATTTTATACAGTTTTAACTGTTTCAGCACTAGAAAATAAGTTGAAATTCAAGATGGCTCGGACAAATTTTGGGCAGGATTCGACATCGCTGGTCTAGCAGGCCGCAGCCGGTCTCACGGCCAATTTCTAAATTCAGTGACCAAGGAAATTGGGGAGCGCAGCCGTGCACCACCAATTTTGTGCACCAATAAGCCCTGAATCGAACGCCTTGGATTTCTCCGGACCTACACCAATCAGCCGTGCACCACTCGGCTTTGTCCTCTTCCGGCCTTGACCACCACCAGGCCGCGGATCGAATATGACTTCCGGGCATCGTTAAACTGCGTAATTTTACGTTCACCGCTTCTGAGGTTAGGTTTCAGATAGCATAGTTCTGTTCCAAAATTTATTGTCCTTCGACAAGTGGCCGTTCGACCGAGGGCTGGTTCGACCCGCGGCCTAGATACGGACGGCTTGAAGTGTTGAAGGTTACGTTCCGGAAGGCAGGAATCATGATGGTCCATTACATCCAGGGCAGTGGTGGTCTTCGGCAGGCGACCCACAGTGATGTTTAGTTTTATCTTTTTAAGTTAGTATAGTATAGTATCTTCACCCGTTTCTAAATCAGGATTAGTATTCATATTTTTTTTTCACTTCATCGCGAAACTTCTCTCTAACCTAGAAATTTGTTCTCTTCAGAGCGATTAATTGTCTATTATAATTTCAGGAGTTCAGCCGTTTATAAAATAGAATTAGTATTCATAACTTTTTAATTCAACTCGAAAGTTTTCCCAAATATAGAAATTTATTCATTTTAAGGCGGCAAAAAGTTTGTTAAAATTTCAGGATTATCAGTTTAGCCGTTTCTAAAAGAGAATTAGCATTCATAACTATTCAAATTTAACATGTAAGTTCTCTCAAACATTAAAATATATTCACTTTAGAGCGACCAAAAGTCTGTTTTAATTTCACGATTATCAGTTTAACATTTTCTAAAATATAATAAGTATTCATAACTTTTTAAATTCTACTCGAATTTTCTCCAAAACTAGAAATTTATTAACTTTAAAGCTACTAAAGGTCTGTTACATTTTCTGGATTATCAGTTCAGCCGTTTTTAAAATAGAATTAGTACTCATAAATATTTAAATTCAACTCGAAAGTTCGCCAAATCTAGCAATTTATTCACTTTATAGCGGCAAAAAGTCTGTTGTAATTTCACCTGTATCAATTCAGCCGCTTTAAAATAGAATTAGTATTTTAAACTTTTTAAATTCAACTCGGAAGTTCTCCCAAATTAGAAATTTATTCATTTTAAAGCGCCAAAAAGTCTGTTATAATTTCAGGAGTATCACTTCAGTCGTTTTTAAAATAGAATTAGTATTCATATATTTTTATGTTTAGCTCGAAAATTCTCCAAAACCTAGAAATTTATTCACTTTAAGCAGCAAAAAGTCTGTTATAATTTCACGAGTGTCAGTTCAGCCGTTTCCAAAATAGAATAAGTACGTATTCATAACATTTCATATCCATCTCGAAAGTTCTCTCTGGAAAGATAGACAAAAAGTGTCGTAAAAAACTTTCATACAAGAAAAAATATTTCAAGTTAATATTACCTATGCCGTTAATATCAGCATTGGCTATACTCTTGACTCAACACATATAAAAGGTAAAAGTTAAACTGTTATTTATTTGTAATTTTCTATTTATTTTCCACTGAGTTACAATTTCGGGCGTAATTTTTACTTCACTCAATCATATTTGCATTTATGTGGCGATATCATTGAGGTCATATTGAACAGTGATGTTTCGACCTGTGTAAGTTCCCTGCTATTTACCGTTGTGAACGTATTTTTAGTTAACTGGTTTTCCGTTGGCATTCTAAAGGCAGCATTATTAGAAGTCAGATTAAATTTCAATTTATTTCATTTTAATCAAGTTTCCTGTGATTTACAATTGTGATCGTAATTTCCACTTCAGTAAATCTGTTTTTTTTTTCATAAAAGGTGGCATCATTTGAGGTCAGCGGGGCAGTCGCTCATCTGGGTAGGGTGCGCCGCCTTGAACGCCTCTAGCTCCCCTAGCGCCGCGCCGATGCGGCTAATGATGGGGAACGCTGCCATGTCCACGCCGAACCTGGGCGCGAGATTGGCATTTAATCTTACGTCTTACTGTGTCAAATTAGGAAATTTGTGAGGAAGAAGTAACGAAAGAATTCTAAACGATTTTATTTCAATCCTGTTAGAATGATCCTGAGCTTAGAACCTTCAAAAAACATAGATACTCCCTGGCTGACAGTCGATCATTTCTCCGTCCGTCAGCAGAGCGCCGTATTCTTATTATGTTATCGAGAATATTTGTTGTTGATTTTCAGTCCACGCAATTTACTGTGTTATGTTATGAATAATCATCAGGTAACAAATAGGATGTACACAAAAATCACCTCCAAATAAGCCAGGGTAAACATTCCGATTTATATTAGTTTCTAGAGAAACTTCTCTTATTTGAATTAAGTTAATTGACAATATCTGAGAGCCCGTTTTCTTAAACGATTACAACTCGTCATGAAAATTTTATTCAAATAATTATTCATCTACTTCATCTAAATACAAAAATTAGTAATCTAATAAGAAATTTCCCAAAATCCCGATAATTCAACTATTACTTTATAAAATTAAGTCTCACCGGCCAGCGTTGAATATCTGCGGCACCAGGCAGCAGTCGGCCCAGCTCACTGCGTCGCCTACGCAGTACTTGCCAGACGACTTCTCCAGGAGCTTCTCTAGCGCTGCCACACATAAATAATTAGAAATAATTAAATTAATAATTTCTAGTGCTGCCACACACAAATAATTAGAAAATAATTAAATTAATAATTTTAGTGCTGTCACACAAAAATAATTAGAAAATAATTAAATTAATAATTTCTAGCGCTGTCACACAAAAATAATTATTGAAAAGTAATTGATGAAACAAGGTTACGACTTGGTTTAGTTAAAAGATGGCAACCAACCAATAAACAAATCGGGCGAGCATTACAAGCAATTATTCAATCATTTAGATTATCGCAAGAAACAGTTGCTCATATGTACGAACATCATAACTGACAAAGTCCACACAACAAATAATACATACACTAGACGCAATTAATACAAAACAGCACCATAAAGCAGCTAGCGTTGCAATTTAGCGAAGTATAACACTGTACCAGTGAAGCCTTTGATAATCGCGTCTGCGGCCCAGGGTTTGCGCTGTTCCTCAGGCAGAGCCTGTATCACCTTCAGGTTCTGCAGGGGCTGGATGCCAGCCACGATCACTTGCGACGCTTCTCGTACCTGCACATCACACGACAACGATCGCTCAATACATATATTATCCGTATGTACTTTTTAAAAATGTCAAAGTCATCTTATCAACACTGCAGACCTAATTTTCTTAGTATATTATTAGAATAATGGCACATGTTTCATTTCCAAAGTTTATGCTTGCTAAATCTACCCAGCTTTTATTGCCTTAAACGCTAGTATAGCGACGATACAATGCTTCAAATACGACAAGCTGAGATTGATTGCTACTCATGAGTGCAAACCTTAGCTCTGAGAAGCTTGTCCTTGGGTAGCAGCGCAGGTTCCGGATATTTTTCCTCCAGGTACTCGAAAATAGCCGCCTGAAACAACGCGTAAGTCTTGAGGCAAGCAAATTATTGCGAGGACTCGCTCATGTTACATGGATAATTTATATTACCTATTACGTGTCTCTATTTTCATAAGATAAGATGCAAATCAATCATAGATAATCGAGTCATCATAGATAATCAATCATAGATAATCGAAGTCTCTTATTACTAGGTGAGGGAAGAGAATCTGACTTATTCATCAGGATTTCAGATGCTCAATGAATCAAAACACACGCCCAGCTCGCAGCATTGAATCACCCTCGCCTGAGATGAACGAATTAACCCTTTCGTCACGGATACATTTACCGTCTACAATGCTATTCGTACCAAGTGGTTTGGGACCGAGAGAAGTTCCGTCAGTCACGAAAGGGTATTAAAGACACTTGTTACCCTCAACGCTGCTGTTCCCGTATTAGTACTTAGATTCTGCATTCATATTAACTACGGCTACGGGATGGACGGAGGTAAGAAATCAGTAAATTTACCATTAAAAAATGAGATTCTATGTGCGTGAATTAACCCAAAATAGATGCTAATTATTTAAATGCTGGTATGGTGGTGTGAAGGTATAAATATTTAAATTGTGAATTGTGAATGCATGTCTATAAAATATTGAAACACAAACCTATAGTAAAATTGCACAGTGATTGATCTTCCCCACAATCATGTAATTTACGCAACATAATCACCGAGTGCAAACAAATGGCTTTAGTTCAATATCTTGCGTCGCAATGAAGCAGTCTCATTGCATGAAGTCCATTGAGTGAACGCCTCAGAACGTGAACGCATTCGAGGGCCATCCTCTTGTTGTAGGGGGAGAGAGCAGGATCAAACTATGACATATGACGACACAGAACATATCACCCCGGCCCACCGACCGACCTGACCCTCGGTAACCCACCGAATGTGTGATGACCTAACCCTCACGACCCACCAACTGTGTGATGACCTGACCCTCGGCAACCCACCGACTGTGTGATGACCTAACCCTCAAGACCCACCAACTGTGTGATGACCTGACCCTCGGCAACCCACCGACTGTGTGATGACCTAACCCTCAAGACCCACCGACTGTGTGATGACCTGACCCTCACGACCCACCAACTGTGTGATGACCTGACCCTCGGCAACCCACCGACTACCTCACGACCCACCGACTGTGTGATGACCTGACCTCACGACCCACCGACTGTGTGATGACCTAACCCTCACGACCCACCGACTGTGTGATGACCTAACCCTCACGACCCACCGACTGTGTGATGACCTGACCCTCGGCGACCCACCGACTGTGTGATGACCTGACCCTCGCGACCCACCGACTGTGTGATGACCTGACCCTCGGCAACCCACCGACTGTGTGATGACCTGACCCTCGGTGAGCAACGCCGGCACCTGTCCCAGTGGGTTCAGCTTGAGGAAATCTTCGCCTGTCTGTAAAAAATTTTGCAACAAACTGAATAATCGACGTATATTATGTTCCAGATAACTGAATTAATTCTATCACATACAACAGAGGGATCTTCTACTATTCAAGGCTGTTGTACTGTTGATTTTTTGCATAAAAATTGTAAATAAAAATTTAAATTTCCTTGTAAGTTAACACACTATATATACTCTTAGTGCCATATTCTCAAACTGCCAAAAAATTAATTTTATCTCCGTTATTTCTCCTTCGATACAATTCGGACTTGAACAAAAAATCAACTTAGATAATTCGCAAGATTATTTATGGTTTCAAGATTCACTAAATGAAAGGTTGAAAGACCAATCTCAGATGCCAGCTTCACCTGTTCTCCCTTGAGTAGGTTCACGGCGCTGTACTCGTACTCCACGCCTTTCATCGCCAGAACTGATGAGAAAACTTGTGAGTAAACGCGCGTCCTTCAAATAATATCGTGTAAAATCGTAGACTTTCTATCACTGATCGATAGCGAGCTGCCTTTAATTCAGGTCAGTTCAGTGGAAATAAGTTGTAATTTCTACTTGCTTATCAATAAAAAAATTTCCTTGTAAAACAATTATAACAAAAGAAGCAAGCTCCACAACACGTTATTTAATAAAGAGCTTTACAGCACATCAGTTAAATTTCATAACGTTAAATGTGAAAAAATTTTAATGTCACACAGTCTAGAGCACAAACTCACCTAATCGGATTCTCCACGCAGAAGAGCTCCTGAAGTAAGAATACAGCACCAACTGCAAAATAATTATAAACAATAAAATAGTTAAGTTTTAAGCTTAAGGTAAGTTTTAAATATAATATAATATTATATTTGAAGATAATATTATTATATATTAAATATATAAATAAACTTTTGCATATATTTTTAAACATTACAAAAAAGTTGGTGCATGGGTCTAACAGGATACATCACTTATATATTCAAATAAATTTTCCTTACTGTTGGCTTGCTATTCGTACAACAGGCAACGATTTGCACGCGAACATTTAGCAATCATCCTTGTTATTTTAATCTATTAATGCCTATGCAGCCAAATTTTGCCTAGATTTCAGTAATAATCCTTTATGAATAACAAAATGACGCTGGCAGCGAAGAATTCTACCATTAATTGTAAAAAAGAATGCAAGGGTTCAAATAAATTAGCCACAATTAGGCATAAACTTACCTTGTCAAGCGACATAGCGGAGGTAATGATTGAAGCCTGACTAGAATTTCAAGCCTGAAATAAAAGAAGATCTTTATAAATTAATCTGAATTTGCGTGTTATGAACATTGCTACTTATATACATATTTGATATTTCAATTAACAATGTACTTATTTAAATTAACGCGGAGGCTTTGAGGAAACACAGTAAAGAAACTTGAATTTAATACGACGTTTTCAAGCCACGTTTCTCACTACAAAAACCGTGAACAGAGTTAAAATACTGTCAAGCAAAGATAACGTGTTTTTACAATACAAGACATTTCCACACGCATTGTCGATCATAATACAGGCAAGAGAGTCACTATAACTGGCAGCCAACGATTCGACTGATATTTCATTATCATTCAAGGTTAGCAAAAGATTATTAACATCGACCCAGAGCAAATCCCGATCCCCTGTTGACGCGGCCGTTTGAACGACCAACTAAGATTATTAACACTGAAGCCTATGTCCTTGGGGGAGCTGGGAAGTGTGTGGCTGAAAATGGCTTTGCCCGTAGGCCCAAACATGGGACCGGTTTATCATGCTTTACCGACGCCTGAAGAAGAGAACTATTCGGCCTTCAACTACTTTTTTCCTCGGGACCAGACGCTGCATAGGCTCTTCGCAGCCCTATATATAAATGTGTCATGTTGTCTTGCTGTTATTAATCTTTCTATTTAACAGATCTTTGAATCTGTGGAAAATAGTTTGAATAGTAGTAGCAGATTCAAAGATTAGTTTGGTAAGAACATCTCACAATAAAAATATTATGATTTAAAGTGATTTCAGGCTACTCATAATCGACTATTGTTTAGAGAATGATTATAATAAATTTTCAAATTAGCGTACATGCATGTTGATGCTCCGGAAAATCATCACCAAAATCCTAGTTTTTTAATATCGAACATACTAAACATTCGATAGACTTTTCTTTATCAACAAACCAAACAGCGCTGTGCAATATATCATAGATAGTTTGTTAATCAATTTCTAGCGAATACATTAGCACAGTGGTTCCCAAACTTTTCAGGCTGGCGCCCCCTTTGGCTCCTTAGTGAATTTCTAGCGCCCCTCACAGATACATATAAAAACATACGCCTCTTTTTTAAATTTAGTATGCTGCAATTTTAAAAGATAAAGGTTTAACTGCATGAGTGAGTGCACCGAGGTCCTCAGGCTTTGCGACTAAAGAACCATTGACTTCACGTAAGCTTTATTGAATGCTTGTCTTCACAAGTATTATCGAATCGGTCATTATTGACACAATAATTCAACTAAAAATATAATCAGGCATGGCATAATATATCGGGTCAATTTATTCATAACAATAATGGAGATTCGCTGAAGGATTTATGATTCTGTATTCAATACCAGTGCAATGAACAAAAGCCAGATTATTTATGGAAAGTAAATAAATTCCGCGCCCATTCCGACGAATGCTTTTAAGTAAACCAGTAGGATAAAACGATAAAATCTTTATTTCCCATCGTCACAGGCATTGCACACACCGTGATACTTATTGAGGATGTAATAGGAGGCGTTAACGAAACCGTCGCCATAGCAACGCATGTCAACAACAGCACATGACAGTTGTTAACCTGCCCTCGAGCGAGGATCAGTACGTCTTGATTATCGAATAATAAACAGAAATAATATCTTTATAATTTCGTAAAGGTTAACTCTACGGCAAGACAACAATGATGAAATGAAGATATTGCAAAAATGGTGATCATAAATAAAATGGTCTTAGTTGAGTCGCTGAGCATTGAATTGCAACGTTACAAGAATTTCTCAAACCCAACTTTTCATGTGAGCGTCAAGTTTACCTGCGAATTACTGTAAGTGGATTTCCGATCTGTAAACATAACTACAGTTCTTAAAGATCCTCATTAAAGTCTTCTAGTAAAATGAATGACGCAACAGCTGACCACGAGATTATCAGATCGCTTCAGGTGAGACGGGAAATCTTGCATTATTATCTCAATTGCAGGGAAATCCTTCTTTAAAAAAATCTATTGTGGATTTTGAAATGTATACCATCAATAGGTATGAGAGGAAAATTGGAAGTGGTATATAAAATGGATGCAAAAACATGATGAAAAAATTAATGGGAAATAAGACAGAAGCCTACTAAGTGTGTAGATAATTAGACGACAAGATAAAGATACGAGCAGCTTCCAATAGAAAAGATATTCCTGGTATAAAGACAATAATTCTAGCAGAAATCGAGCATCTCACATTTCATGCAGAAAATGCCCGGAGGTGGTTATCGCACCTGCGTACATGAAATGTGGTGAGATGCTAGGTTTATGTACGCATTTCATGTACGCAGGTACATTAAAATGTCCGCATGTACATTAAAATGTACGCAGGTACATTAAAATGTCCGCATGTACATTAAAATGTACGCAGGTACATTAAAATGTACGCATGTACATTAAAATGTACGCAGGTACATTAAAATGTACGCAGGTACATTAAAATGCACGCAGGTACATTAAAATGAAATGTACGCATGTACATTATAATGTACGCATGTAATTAAAATGTACGCATGTACATTATAATGTACGCATGTACATTAAAATGTACGCAGGGTGTCATCGGGTCCCTGCACGAGGAGCTCAAGACGCAGCAGGAGCTGACGCGGCAGCTGCGAGACGACCATCTGCAGGAGCTACAGGATGTCGAGCAGCGACTGCAGGATGCTCTGCAGAGCAGCAGGAGGGAGGAGACGACTTACCTGCAGACGCTGCTTAACCTCACAGAGCAGGTACAGACTGCATGGCTAGCAGTGGCAGCTCAACAAATTTTCATACCTTAATATTCCTCAATTTAGACATTTATGTTATCTCTGTCGGTTTATTTAACTTGTAGAATAGGACCGTCAATTAACTTTGAAATCAAGATTTGTCACACAAATAATACATTTTCGTTCCATAACGCTAGAAAGGCGTCACAAAAACCACTGTAAACATAATATGTATCACTAACGCATTCAAAAGCTGACACATACGTGTGCGGGCTCAACGGGGCAGGGAAAATCGAAGTTGGTTTTCTCCCGTTTATTTCATAAACTTGAGTGACGTAAGCTGAGTGA